GGCTGGAAAATAAATTTTATTACCTGAGATTCAGAAGCCTTTGTTTATTGAAAATGGCATCTGTAGAATTGTTAAATGTGTTGCTTCTAAACAGGTTGCTGTTCTTTGGGCGTCTGCTTTCTCTGACATCGTCAAATCCAAAACATTCAAAACTACAGCTTCTTCCCCCTGTCCCACCAATTTACATAATTATTTACTTCTTTAGCTCTAAACAAGTAACATTAAGACTAGCATTTTAACATTGTAATTAGTAAATAATGAATTACATTTCATGACATTTTTAAATAATGATTTTAAACTAATTTGAGACTTTTATATATTTTAATGCAAACTAAATTATATTGCAATTCAACGTGCAGCCTTGAATCGCAACAGTGGTTTTCTCCGAGGACTTTACAAAGCTGTTGTTTCGCCATCACAGATCAGAGAATCAACCAGTTCAAACACAGGGAATGCAGTATTAACATAGGGCCATACAGTAAATGTCCTTAAATGTCCTGGATCAGCACCACTGCATTAAAATCGTCTGCTGTTGCAACATATGTCAGAAAGATCCTCTTATATTTTGGTGCCATTAGAACAGAACTTGCAGAACCTAACAGCCGAGGTCTGGTCTAGTTTTGCAGAAGACTTTTGCAATGACAGCAAGTGAAATCTGAGCTCCCTGTCCAACCATCACCTCCACTCTGTTAAATAAGTGCCAAACCCAAACCGTCACCTCTCACACTGCGCTTCTAACTGGGGTTAATAATACACTGGGGCTTTCAGAAGCTTAACTTATAAAAAATGTAGCTTCTATTTCTGAAATATTGATCACAAGCCTGAAAGCTGCTATTGTTCTGGGGGAGAAAAGCCGCATTCATCAAATATTGACTTAATCTGTTGGATTCAATATTGATATTCTAATAGAGCCACATTCAGCACAGAATGAGCTGGAATGTAACATTTGCATCAGGAATGAGGGCCGCGTGAGTCACTTATGGCCCCGGGCAATGTGTTTCGGTGGTGCGTGTGGTGCGGTCACTGTCGCTTGTCATATCATCAGCGCGTTGAGTCAGTTCTGCCACGAGACTATAAATGTCGCAGAACATTGCTCACTGTGCACTTTGCCGACACAGGTGCAGAGGCTCCGTCTGTCAGAGATCTGCCATCATCAAAATACAGCATCAGACTCTGGAGATAGAAGTGGTTAATGGAGAAAATATTGTAAATCTACTCAAAAGCATGAGAGCCGATTCACGTCAACAGAAGCGAGGCCGTTTGGTAAAGGTGATGTGAGGAACGAGAGGCAACAGAGGCACACAATGACGTAATATGAACAGGTTGTAGAAACTGTTACATGTCGGTGAGGACGTCTCTCCATCTGGAATTAACAGCCTTCAATGAAATAAGTTCAGTTCATTTCCAGTCTTTTTGCAACACCTCCCATGTAGAAACGTTTTAGTAAAAGGACCACTTTAGTTCATCAGACTTGACCTGGGGCCGACAACCTGGATTTAAAAACTGGATTTGAGCTGGATTGACTGATTCAGACCACAGCTGCATTTTATTTGGAATGTTGTGACACATTTTTATTTTTTTATGTCAATATATAGCAATAGAGTCAATGACTGGATTCCAGAGGGTCTGAAATTTAAAACAAGGTATAGTATGACTGTAATGGTGGAGCTGAAATTGGTTGGATGACAATGTCTAAGTGCGTCAATGGCAACTTTGTGTTAGCAGCAGAAGGGCCCCATAAAATGGCACAGAGGGCCGCAATTGGCGCACGAGCCTGAGTTTGGAAATACCTGATGTAGAAAGAGCAGATAATACAAAAACTTTTTCCCCAGTTCTGTGCAAAAGGAACAGAACAGAGAGCAACAAATGGTCATCTGAACACACACCCGAAGAACCAACATTTCTCTGCGTAAATGACAGATGCAGAGAGCAGTAGACCATCACCTTATGAACAAAGGTACCAGTGTCTTGACCTCCTGCTGGACACAGAAGGCCATCCCACTCCAGAAAACTGGTGGGAAACTTGATTTTCTTCTCAGAATTCCATTGTGTGGGTTGATGGGTGTTCAGAACGCTGGGAGTCCTCGTGTAAAGTCTCCAACAATCTCCAGCTCCCACTGTGGATTACTCTCATTCACTTTTGTGTCTCCCACGTTCCAGTCTCTCTCTAAAGCTCACAAAAGCCCGTTTAACTCCTACTTTTTTTTTTACCCTGGCAAACAAAATCAGTTCAAAAAAACAAAGAAAAAAGCCATTATGCGCCCTCCACACTCTGGCGTTGCTCCCAGCGCAAAAACAAAAGAACTAAAATAATGATGCACTTTGAAATGGCATTGAATTGTGACATTGGACAGCGACGCATCTCTGCTTCTGTTCTCTCTGCAGAAGGTAGCAGCAGCGCTTTGTGATTAAAATAACAATGTTTGCAATAATAATAGGATTAAATGTATTGGGTGATCAGTGAGGCTTCTCGTCCTTCAGAACCCAGACACAATTGAAGTCTTAATCAGCCATCGCTCGCACCTTTCCAGCGGCGGCGGAGGAGAGTTTTGACAGAAAATCTTTGGCTTCCTGACAAGAAAAATGAGGCGTGGAGAGAGGAGCCAAATTTCCTGAGGCTGTGAATGAAACGCAACAAGATAATAGGCGAGAACGACGTCCTCTCCCTCTCTGCATAATGTTCTGTCAGTGACTTTCATAGAAAAAGTGTTGAACAAGACACTGTTTCCACCGTCGACAATGATCACAGGGACCTGCTGCATTCAAACTACAGTGATCATAGGGACATGCTTCATTCCAACTACAGAGATCATAGGGACCTTCTGAATTCGAACTACAGTGATCACAGGGACCTGCTGCATTCAAGCTACAGAGATCACAGGGACCTGCTGAATTCGAACTACAGTGATCACAGGGACCTGCTGCATTCAAACTACAGAGATCACAGGGACCGGCTGAATTCGACTACAGTGATCACAGGGACCTGCTGCATTCAAACTACAGAGATCACAGGGACCTGCTGCATTCAAGCTACAGAGATCACAGGGACCGGCTGAATTCGAACTACAGTGATCACAGGGACATGCTGCATTCAAACTACAGAGATCACAGGGACCTGCTGCATTTGAACAACAGAGATTACAGGGACCTTCTGCATTCCACCGATAGCGATCACAGGGACCTGCTGCATTCAAACTACAGAGATCACAGGGACCTGCTGCATTCAAACTACAGAGATCACAGGGACCTGCTGCATTTGAACAACAGAGATTACAGGGACCTTCTGCATTCCACCGATAGCGATCACAGGGACCTGCTGCATTCAAACCACAGAGATCACAGGGACCTGCTGCATTCAAACTACAGAGATCACAGGGACCTGCTGCATCCAAACTACAGAGATTTGTATTGTTACATCTTGTTTGTTTTTATGTTCTTTGTTAACAACAACCTGCCAGGAGGTCTGCAGATGGAAATTAGCCTAAGGCTATAATCTGGCATATTTACATTTGTTAAATGTTCATTAATATGCATTGTACCTCCTTTAACACCCAAATAAATAAATAAATAAATCACAGGGACCTGCTGCATTCCAATGAGAAGCTAAATTTAGACGGAAAAGTCGTTAAAGGATTATATTAACAAAGCAAAAATAGCGCAGTGAGAATAAGATGAAAGTGAAGATGTTTGAGATGCAACTGTTTGTATCAGTTGTCTGTTCTGTGGGGGTTTGAGGAAGCTCGATATTGTCCCCCACAGGTTTGCAAAGGTACTGCAGCAATATCTACAGTGAACATGGAATAATATATGTCGCACTACAGAGACGAGAAATCGGTATCGGTGATGGATTATGCAAACGCAACGATGACACATGCATTGCAGTCATCATGGCGGTTTAGTTTACTTTAGTTCAGTTTATTTATTCAAAGGAAAAGGTGAAGTTGCATTAAAAAGATTAGATGAAGATTCCAAGTAATAAAGCTGAACCTCCTGTGTGACAACTCTCATCCAAACAGGTTCTCTGATCGAATTCTCTCTTTGTAAGTCAATTTATGAAGATTTACAATCCAAGGAGGAGCCAGACTAACAGTAAGTTAATTTGAATAGCATATACACACTCAAAGAGCTGAACAAAGTTAGAAACAGTTACACTACACATTGAGATCGTAAAGAATCACAGCGCATTTAAAAGAGTGGGTAAAAAATCCTTCAGTTGTTGCAGAAACAGAATTGTTTTTAACCTGGATTTGAACATTGTCAGAGAAGAAGCCCGTCTCACATTTTCAGGATGACTGATCCAGATTTAAGCTGCATTAAGCTGAAACACTTCCTCCTCCTGTTTAGTCTTGGCACCAGCACGAGGCCAGTCTTGGCTGGAGGTCAGTCCCTGTGCTCCTCAGAGTCCCTGTAGGAGGCCAGTCCCTGTGCTCTTCAGAGTCCCTGTAGGAGGCCAGTCCCTGTGCTCTTCAGAGTCCCTGTAGGAGGCCAGTCCCTGTGCTCCTCAGAGTCCCTGTAGGAGGCCTGTCCCTGTGCTTGTCAGAGATGACAACTTCTGAGTGGAGTTTGCATGTTCTCCCCGTGTCTGCGTAGGTTTCCTCCGGGTACTCCGGTTTCCCCTACCACTAAAAATATGTACAATAGTCTGACATGCGCCTCCTGTTCGGCGACCCCGCTCCCATCTCTGTGTGGAGTGAGAGGACAAGTGCCCAAAAAATAACAATTGTAAACCGCTTTGTGACTCTGGTCTGTGAACAGGCGGTATATAAATCAAGCTTACTTACTTACTTAGATGGTTCATATGGCACTGCCATAATATTTCTTCTTTAGATAAAATTAAATGATAGTCGTCTTCCATGAATCACCTAAACATCACAGTTCGTTGTGGAGTGAGTGCTCTGGTCTGAACCTGAGGATTTCTCCTTTGGAGATAACATTGGATGAAGAAAGCAGCAGCAACATTTGTCTCTGACAAAGATGAAGACAAAGAGAGTGAATAATCCATGTTCATTCACAGCCTGCTGACATACTGCACAAAGGGCGAGAGGCGGGAGATGAAGGGAGGTGAAGACCGCTGGGAAGACCTTTGTGTCTCTGCCGCCTCGTATAGAGTACCAGTCTGAGGACCTCCCACTGTCATCAACGGAACAACAGTATCAGAGACTGCAGACTCGATGCAGCAGAATATAGACAAACATTAATGATCCGCCTCATGTGGCCTATTCTGTCCTGTCTGTACACTGTACATGGAGATAGTCTCTCTCTGGTCTCTCACTGATCTCTTTCTGGTCTCTGTCTCTGGTCACTCTCTAGTTTCTCACTGGTCTCTTTCTGGTCTCTGGTCACTCTCAAGTTTCTCACTGGTCTCTCTGCTCTGTGTCTCTCTGTATCAACAAATCGACAGCTGTGTAAAGTCCTCGGAGATAACTACTGGTGTGATTTAGGGCGATACAAAATAAACTGAATTGAAATGAAGCCAGCTCACGTTCCCTATTAGTTGAAGACCCGTGATCACCTCTGCTTCCTCCCAACCCTCACTACATCCACTCAAAGCTTGGAACTAAAATATACTGTCAGGATCTTCTCCCTGTTGTCTCTGCCCCTCCCCTTCTGTGTGTGTCTGGTCTCCGCACACACCCACCAGTTAGTGCAAGGTTTATGTCTGATCTCTTTTACCATTGTATTTATTACTTACCTCGCCTGCTTTGCTCAGGTCCCTTTCTGCCTAAGTCCACCTGCCTCTGTCCACCAGCCTCAGTCCACCTGCCTCAGTCCACCAGCCTCAGTCCACCTGCCTCAGTCCACCTGCCTCTGTCCACCAGCCTCAGTCCACCTGCCTCTGTCCACCAGCCTCAGTCCACCTGCCTCTGTCCACCAGCCTCAGTCCACCTGCCTCAGTCCATTTGCCTCAGTCCACCTGCCACAATCCACCTGCCACAATCCACCTGCCACAATCCACCTGCCACAATCCACCTGCTACAATCCACCTGCTACAGTCCACCTGCTACAGTCCTCCTGCCATAGTCCTCTGTCTTCCTTGCCACAGTCCACTGGCTTCAGTCCACCTGCCTCAGTCCACCTGCCTCAGTCCACCTGCCTTAGTCCACCTGCCTCAGTCCACCTGCCTTAGTCCACCTGCCTCAGTCCACCTGCCAGTCCACATGCCGCAGTCCTCTGTCCACCTGCCTCAGTCCACCTGCCTCAGTCCTCCTGCCTCAGTCCACCTGTCTCAGTCCACCTGCCTCAGTCCTCCTGCCTCAGTCCACCTGCCTCAGTCCTCCTGCCTCAGTTCACCTGTCTCAGTCCACCTGCCTCAGTCCTCCTGTCTCAGTCCACCTGCCTCAGTCCACCTGCCTCAGTCCACCTGCCTCAGTCCTCCTGCCTCAGTCCACCTGCCTCAGTCCTCCTGCCTCAGTTCACCTGCCTCAGTCCACCTGCCTCAGTTCACCTGTCTCAGTCCACCTGCCTCAGTCCTCCTGTCTCAGTCCACCTGCCTCAGTCCACCTGCCTCAGTCCACCTGCCTCAGTCCACCTGCCTCAGTCCTCCTGCCTCAGTACACCTGCCTCAGTCCACCTGCCTCAGTCCACCTGCCTCAGTCCACCTGCCTCAGTCCACCTGCCTCAGTCCACCTGCCTCAGTCCTCCAGCCTCAGTCCACCTGCCTCAGTCCTCCTGCCTCAGTTCACCTGTCTCAGTCCACCTGTCTCAGTCCACCTGCCTCAGTCCTCCAGCCTCAGTCCTCCTGCCTCAGTCCACCTACCTCAGTCCACTTCGCAAGCCCCATGGCCTCCAAACCTCTTAACTTACCTATTTCAATCTCCCTCATTGGGGTGTCTCTCAATCACTTGGTTTTAGACACTTTTACATCTAACTGCATCCAGCCATTTGGTAAAAGCCAATGATTATAGAAAACAAACATCTTAGAAAATCAAAAGAAAAAAATGACTTTTCTTTCTTCAAGGTGTGAACATTTAAGGGTTAAAGCAGCTGCTAGAACAACATCCTTGAGTGTGTTTCATACGAGTTGTGCGTTGGTGTTTTGAGTTGTGCGTTGGTGTTTTGGATCACCACATTGTTCCTCAGTGGGAGTGGAGCCTCTGATCCTGGACTGGTGCAGTTAATTAGGAGCTGTGGCCTGTGGAGTTTAATTCAATGGTTCACAAAACACACTGATGGGACAAACTCCACTCGCACCAAGAAGCAATTCACTTTAAATCCACAGTGTCCTCAGATTTATAGTTTTATTAAAGTCATTCTGTGTCTTGCTATGTAGGGGAGGGAGGACGCGATACAAGGAATATTCCAGAGCTACAAGACATTGGAAAACTTTTGAGTCTTTTTCCAAACAAAAAGAACAACTATGAGGCACTTCGAGTTAGTTGTGTTCCATAAACAATCCGAAAACAATTCCATGTATTTGTGTATCTCCCTAAATCACAGCAGCAGTCGTCATGATGGAGTTTACAAAGTTGTCAATTCACCAACATCTGATCAGAGAATGAAACAGTTCAAACACAGAGAAAATGCTGTAGACCCAGGACTGAAGCTGTAGACCTAGAACTGAGGCTGTAGACCCAGGACTGAGGCTGTAGATCCAGAACTGAGGCTGTAGACCCAGGACTGAGGCTGTAGACCCAGGACTGAGGCTGTAGATCCAGGACTGAGACTGTAGACCCAGGACTGAGACCATAAATCCAGGACTCGGGCTGTAGATCCAGGAGTCAAACTAAAACAAAATATGATCTTGAGAATTATAATTGGTTAGTATTGATACCAATGATTTTTGTATTGATCAGAAATTAAATGTATTAAGCACATAAATGAACATTTTTTGGTCAATCTGAATTACTTGAATTATTTTTCTAGGGAGCAATCAAATGTATGTATCATTTGGGTGGCCACTTAAGAGGGTCTAATTTTCCAATGTTCCAATTTTAAAGCAATTGAAGGACCGATGTATGAAAACTGCAGAATTTAATCTTGGGACGTGGAAATATTAGCTTGTTTTTAGTCTCTCACAGATGGAATGATCTAAAAGTATAAACATTCACATCATTAACGTTACACCAAAGGAGAACATAGTGTGTATTGTAAACATCTTTACTTGGCGTTTCATGTGTTAGACTATGTAGAAGACAGGAGAATGGTAGAAAGTACTCCCCTCTAGTGGTAGAAGTTGGACATTACATATGCATTTGATGACAGTTGTATTTGAAAAGACAGAATTTGTTGAAAATAGAGAGTGATGTGTTCCTGATGTGAACATGGATGGAGCTATAATCAACTTCCGGTCTTGGATCAGGATAATGCTTCTGTATTTTAAAAGTTTATTTAAAAAAAAAAAAAACGTCTTTAATCAAACAGACGAGTTTGTTCCAGGGTTGAGTCTGAAGAGCATATTGTTTTCTTATATATTAAAACTCAAACAGCAGGATCTCAGAGAGCGCAAAAACACAGATGAGCGAGAGGAGTTTACTTTTACATATAAGTCAAAAGGAGCCAGAGAGAGCGGTGAAACTTTGTCCATGAGCACTTTCCTATTGGGCTTCATTGAGCTAGCAGGTTAGCATTGTCTATCAGAATACTGTCTCTGCTTCGGAGCTACATCACAGGCAGCAATGGAATCAAAACCTGGCTTGTAATAGTAAAGTTTAGATGATTATGTCTCAGTGTGACTTGAATGAATGCAGTGAAACACAAAGAAAAGCTTTGAGTGTTTGATCTGTGTGTCTCGGCCCCTACTTTGAGAACCTCTGGCTTTATTCATATAGTGCATGTTACATAGTGGTGAATATACAATAATAAGAGTTTGATTCGAAAGGTTAAGGATCAGTAATAAATAGCAGCACAAAAAAAAGTCCTGTTTAGTTTCTTCACATCTCCGTCATTTTCTCCTCGTCTGAAAAAGATGTGTTATAAATCCCAGATCCGTTTTCGCCGGAGATCCCACGTTCTGCTCTGGCCTCGTCGTCGGCCATTTTCCCTTTCTTTTTACTGCAAAACATGTCACAAACGAGTAGATCATTCACTTTGACTCGATATCACACTGACACAGTCATGGGGAGTGTCATGATGCGGACTTTTTAATTACTTTCCCTGGTTTTATTTTGATATTAGTCTTTTTCAGTGTTATTTCATGTTTGTTGAGTTGGTTGCCTGTCCCGCCCTCTGTGTTTCACCTGTGTGTCCCTGTGTGTATCTAAAGTAGCAATATGTAAGATTTTCATTAAATGGCCCTGTCAAAAGGCATGACTAAACCAGAGATAGATAGCTACTTTATTGATCCCCGTCGGAGAATTTCAGGTGTCCAACAGCAGCAAAAATCAAAAATAAAATTGATCATTCTAAAAAGCTAATAATAGTATTGATCAGCCACAGGCCTTCACGTCACAGCAGCAGAGGTGGAGTAGCCTCTGGGTGGAGCAGGACGGGTCACAAGGTGGAGCCGCTTGTTTCGGACCATTTTCTCTGTTCTAGTCCAAAGTAAAATGCTAAATTCATCATTAGCATTTTTCTAAAAGTTAGCCTTCCCTCCAGTGGATTTTCACCTGATCCGCTCGGTTCGGACCATGAATCCTCTCTGCTCCGGTCTGGACCAGTGCAAAACCATGAACGATGTACTGCAGCAACATCTTAGGTATAAAAAAAAGAAAAAGAAAATGTATAAAGCACAAAACAACAACTGTTTCAGAGCTACTTAGGACCTGCTGCCGGTTCCCAGTGCTTTCAAAAGTTAACTATGGTCTTTTCGAATGTTTCTTTAACTGATAAAAGTAGTTAGAGCTGCAACTAACGATTTTGTAATCGATTAAGCTATCGATTATTTTTACGATTAATCGAGTAATCGCTTGGCTGTGAATTGTGTAGAAAAAAAATATTTTTTCATCACAAAAAGCTAAAGTGGCAACACTCGAAGACGTATTGATGGCGTAAACTTAAAGTAAATGTTTGTAACAGGCTCTTTGTGCTAATTCTGCTCTGATTGGATGAGACAGACAGATATTCATGAAATTATAAAAACAAAGTCGGTTTTAATCAAAAATACTACATTTTCATGTCATTTTTGCTCTGTTTGAGTCCGTGTGAACCAGAAAACGATTAATCGATTACTAAAATAGTTGTCGACTATTTCAATAATCGATTAGTCGTCGATTAATCGATTAGTTGTTTCAGCCCTAAAAGTAGTTCAGCCGAGATATGCAGATTTCAAAATTAGTTTACAGCCCCTAAATCTTGGTATTGTTTTCATTTTGATGTCCCACCCTCCACCGTTTCACCAATCAGAAAGTCTGTGATCCGGGTTGCCAGAACTTACTGCGCTGAGCTAATCTCACTGGTAAAGTACTAAAAAAAGGTGTTATGATTCTCAAATCATTAAAAAAAAGAAATAAAACACTGATTTCTGAAAGGTGTTGGTTATAGATATGTTGTTGACAAAACTCTTGTTTATTCAGATAGTATGGTCCCAGCTAGATTAGTCTGCATAGAAGTCTCCGCCCCCATTGCAGCTGGTGCCTGTTGTGAGGAGAGTCCATCTGTCTCCCATCAGGACAATTGGGGAGAATACTTTGAGGTTGAAAATGAACTTTTTCAACATTGAAATATTCTCCCCACACTTATTCTGGAACTTAAATTAATTAAAGCAATTCATATCTTGGATCTGCATTTGGATTTATATTTTTTAAAAACTCACGGATACACAAGGGGAGGGGAGCACAGGGTTTAAATACACACAGGGATACAAAGGTGAAACACATCAGGGCGGGACAGGCAACTCTGCAGACATGAAGTAACACTGAAAAGAACCAATGTCATAATAAAACCAGGAAAAGTAATCCATAAGTCCACACCATGACAGTTGGAGTGCGAATGGCAGGTTTTTATTTTTATTTTCTGGTCGCACTTTAGTTTTGCCCTCACTAATTAACAAATAATCAAGTGCTAATCAGTGTATAATGTATGGTACATTCACTCTTAATTTGCATTTATGAATCACTAATTAGTCCTTTTTCTTCATGGCCTCATTTAACATCTAACCGCGAACTGACACTTTCCCACCTGGTTAGGGTTTTAGGTTAAGGCAGTGGTTCCCAACCTTTTTGCCGACTATGTCTCTATGTGTTTGTTATTATTGCATTTCCTGTGTTTCAACTGTTTGTTTCTCTGATCTGTGTTGCTGAATCGACAGTTTGTAAAGTCCTCTGAGATAAGATTTAGGGCAATACAAATATAAATGGAATTGAATTGAATTAGTACTCACATAAGTACCTAGTTTCAATACCGGCTTTAGTACTCGATACTCAGTTGCTTTTGACACTTTTGACAGTTACCGTTTTCGCTGGAGGACCGCAGAGACCAGGAAGTAGACGATGCCGGCGCCCACGACTCCCATGACAACCCCAAAGGCGATGAGCCAGGGCGGCGTGGCGGGAACAAACGGAGCGGCGAGCGTCGGTGCGATTCCCACAAACTCCAGTGTCTGGTCTGAGAGCAGGAAGGCACTGTTGATGCGGCTCCTGGACTTCCTGTTGGACACACAGGGTTTAGGTTCATGGTAATGCTCCGACTCTGCAGCTGAGGAGGCAGCGTCAGAGGACAAACAACTCAAGAGACCAACAATATACAGTAACAATATCCCAGTGGCTGAGTGGTTAGCTCGCTTCTAAGCAACAACGGTCCTGGGTTTGATTTCACATCCAGAGTTCAGAAGGGTCTTGTCATGGTTTCTGTGGGTCTACTTACAGGATTGTACAAAAACAACCACACACATTGTGTAGTAGGAAAAATGAATGAACTGAAATTAGGGTTAGATCCAGGACTGAGACTGTAGATCCAGGACTGAGGCTGTAGATCCAGGACTGAGACTGTAGATCCAGGACTGAGGCTGTAGATCCAGGACTGAGGCTGTAGATCCAGGACTGAGGCTGTAGATCCAAGACTGAGGCTGTAGATCCAAGACTGAGGCTGTAGATCCAGGACTGAGACTGTAGATCCAGGACTGAGGCTGTAGATCCAGGACTGAGGCTGTAGATCCAAGACTGAGGCTGTAGATCCAAGACTGAGGCTGTAGATCCAGGACTGAGACTGTAGATCCAGGACTGAGGTTGTAGATCCAGGACTGAGGTTGTAGATCCAGGACTGAGGTTGTAGATCCAGGACTGAGACTGTAGATCCAGGACTGAGGTTGTAGATCCAGGACTGAGACTCTAGATCTAGGACTGAGGTTGTAGATCCAGGACTGAGACTGTAGATCCAGGACTGAGGCTCTAGATCCAGGGTTGAGGCTGTAGATCTGACACTTGACACACTTGACACTTCCAAACCCCTCAAACAAGCAGCAATGCTGTCCAGTGCCACCCAGGACCCAGGGAGCCTGAAACCACAGATTTAAGCCCAAAATGGTGAGTGTGACACAAACGTTGAGTTTACTTTTACATGGAAGTCAATGGGAGCCAGAGGGATGGAGCAAAACTTTATCTATACACAATCTCTCTCTGCTCTCTCTCTGGTCTCTCTCTGGGCTCTCTCTCGTCTCTCACCTCACGGCGTTCTCCACGTCTTCCTTCTTAATCAGCGTGGCAGAATTGACTGACGTCACCACGAACCAGAAGGAGACTCTGGGCGTCTCATCACATATCAGGATGTTGGAGACTCTAGAACACGAGACAATGACGCAATAAAGTCCATAAACCTGACTCCTCCCTGATAAAGCTCTAGCTCCTCACTCAAAGTGCTGGTCAGGTAGGTAGCTCCTCATGGCGTAGGCCAGCGCAGCGCGGAACAGGAACAGCTCGTTGGTGTTCCACTCGTACTGCAATAAAAACAGAAGCAGTGAAGAAGAAGACACTGGACTTTGTCCCCAGAGAAAAAACAGGTTTAATGCACCATGGTTCACCCCAATACACACACACACATTACACACAGACACACACACACATAGATAAACATAATTATACTATGGTGAGTGATCATTCATCATGTAAACTGCTGCTGATTGTTTGTATTATATTACAGGTTTGTGTGTTGCCATGGGGACTACACCTCACCACGGCAACACACAGATCTGAGCATGAAGTTACGGTTATTAAAGCTTTGCAGGATGTTGAATCAACATGTGAAATATTTATTGTTTTGTAAAAAATTATGAGTTGAAATGAACTTAACTTTTTTGTGTGGGGGGGTGGGTGTGCATGTGTGTGTGTGTGTGTGTGTGTGTGTGTGTGTGTGTGTGTGTGTGTGTGTGTGTGTGTGTGTGTGTGTGTGTGTGTGTGTGTGTGTGTGTGTGTGTGTGTGTGTGTGCGTGCGTGCGTGCGTGCGTGCGTGTGTGTGCTTGTGCGTTAACTAGTTTTAACAGAAAGGAGCACATCACCCCTATGAAGGCCTCCCCCCACTGGCTTCTTTTAATAGTTAAAATAATAACTTTTATTTGTAACGCACAAGCAAACACACGCCACAGCAGGTTAACAACACAACAGAGAGAGAGAGTAGAGGACAGAATGTTCCATGTGAGTTATGAGTCAGTGGTGTTTGGAGCATGATAATAAAATAATAAATGAACCTACAGCTTGATCGTCCAGAGCAGTTTTGATGCTGAGACGCACTTTGTAACCGTCTGAAGCTCCTGAAACACAGACAGAAGCTTTAATCCTGGACAAAACACCGGACTCAGATGGGAAAGGATCTGAAATATGCTGGCTTTACAAAGTGATTAAAGGATTAAGATTAAACCTCAGAGATTTCTAGTCTGAGCCTGTTTCCCAAGAACTAAATTTTCTCTTGTTTTAAATCATTACTTTTATTAACGTCCACATCTGTCAAACTATTTCTTCCTCAGCTGAAGGTGTTTCCATCACACATTCATCCACTTTCCAAATGATTGTTTTCTTTCTGAGGTAAAATGCACTTTTCTACACGTAATTATATGAAACTTTTGTGTTGACAAATGGCAAAAGAAACATCACAAAAGTCAAGGATAAGAACAGGACGTTTGAGACAAATCATCATTAAAATTATTACTACACAGAGATGCACATAAGGACTAAGTACACACTATATGATTAGCATAACAGTAGTAAGTAGTAGTAAGTAAGTAAGTTTTTATTTATATACCGCCTTTTCGCTGCAGATCAGAGTCTCAAAGCGGTTTACAATTGTTAATTTTGGGCATTTGTCTCTCACTCCACACAGAGATGGGAGCGGGGTCGCCAGTACAGGAGGCGCATGCCAGAACTATTGGACATATTTTTAGTGGTAGGGGAAACCGGAGTACCCGGAGGAAACCGGAGTACCCGGAGGAAACCTACGCAGACACGGGGAGAACATGCAAACTCCACTCAGAAAGGCCCTGGTCCGACCGGGATTCGAACCCAGGACCTTCTTGCTGAGAGGCGAGAGTGCTATCCACTCAGCCACCGTGCCGCCCAGTTTATTTATTCTATATGTAACTAATCACTAATATCGGGTCCAAGCTTTAGAACAATATATATTTAAACTGATACCTGTGCCACAGTGGCTCACATTAAAGCTAGGGTACCTAACATTAAAACTATGCCACACGCTCCGGCTCCTTTTTGCTTCAAACACTAGTTTTCATATTCATTCATCTTTTGTTAGCTTTTTAGAATGATAAAAAAAAAATGGACACCTGAATTTCTCCTATACGGGATCAATGAAGTATCTATCTATCTATCTATCTATCTATCTATCTATCTATCTATCCATCTTTTACATAATTTCAGCTCTAAGTCCAAAGAGTCAAGCACTTACAGCTCAAAGTGCTCAAAGTACAAAACAAGAAACATTACAGAGGGTACAGAAAAGAAACATTCACATCATAAATATTCACAGAGCATTCAAGAGTTTAGACACAATCCTTCAGCTGTTTGCACAAGATTAGCCTAGATTTGACCAGAGAAGAAGCCTGTCTCACACTTTCAAGAAGAATGTTTACATCTGAAATGCTGCCTCCATATGTTTAGTACTGACTCTGAGACCAGCAGGGGGCCAGTCCCTGTGCTCCTCAGAGTCCCAGCAGGGGGCCAGTCCCTGTGCTCCTCAGAGTCCCAGCAGGAGGCCAGTCCCTGTGCTCCTCAGAGTCCCAGCAGGAGGCCAGTCCCTGTGCTCCTCAGAGTCCCAGCAGGAGGCCAGTCCCTGTGCTCCTCAGAGTCCCAGCAGGAGGCCAGTCCCTGTGCTCCTCAGAGTCCCAGTCAGGGGTATTTCTGTCATTAGAAAAGTCTTATAATTTTCCCTAAGTAGTTTTTCTCTATTTTGTATCTATTTAGGTCCCATACAAATACAGTTTGTCTCATTATTGAGCAAATCCATGGATACAGACTGTGAATAACATTTTGAAGTGTGGAGCTGGAGAAACTTAGTCTGTTTTCTGTGTTTCGGTCTGAGTAAAAGCACTGATGTCACATAAACCATATGTTTCTGTCTGCTATATTTACTTTTGAGTTAATATTTAGCAGAATCTACTCATCATTGACCACTAGGGTTTTAATTCTGCTGTTTATTTCCACTAAGTCATGAATGTGATCTGGAAGAAAAAGTGTGAGAGCTGGACGGCATGCACCAGAGCAAACATTTGAGTTTCTAATCTAACGCTTTAGAGATTACACTGCATTCCGCACAGAAACAGTCTCAAATCAGCACAAAAAAGCTCTTATATTTCTCCAGCTTTATCCACCGACACCAAACCCAGTAATCTATGTTTGCACTCACCGGGCGAGCACAGGTCCTGAGCCAGAGCGCAGGCCACAAAAAGCAAGATTGTGGCTTTCTCCCACATTTCTGCAGAGGACGAAGCGGAACGTTCCTGGTTGTTTGTGACAAAAGCTTGTTCTGAGATTTGAGGAGTCAGCAGCGAAACATACATTAACAGAGTTTAATGGTTCAACTGGACACACCTGACCTGGTCCTCTCCCTCTGTCTGTCAGGGGCGGGACTAAGGCCGAGGAGAGAGACCTCACATCTCACTCCATAAGTCAGATAAATACTCCAAGCCTTTATTTGTTACAATGTTGGTCATAAAGCGTCACAGAAACCCAGAATAAAACATCTCTGATAATTATATTGTTTGGAGAATAGATTGTTTGAAAAGGCTTGGCATATGTCGTTCTGTAATTTTGTTTGTTACAGAAATAACAAAAGATTTACAATCTTATCTGTCGTTCATGGTTATCAAACACCAATAATGTGGTAGTAACAGCAGGTGAGAGAGAAGTTTAAGTGACATTAGGAGAAAAATTAGTCACAAGACAAAAAGACAAAGGTAGCAGTAGTAGTAGCAACAGCAGTAGTAGTAGTAGTAGTAGTGGTAGGATAAGTAGTAGTAGTAGTAGTAGCACTAGTAGTAGTAGCACTAGTAGTAGTAACAGTAGTAGTAGTAGTAGCAGTAGTAGTAGCAACAGCAGTAGTAGTAGTAGTAGTGGTAGGATAAGTAGTAGTAGTAGTTATTATACTAGTAGAAGTAGCTGTAGCACTTCCATTCCCATAGAACTGTTGTTGTCTCATATTTAACTAATAAAGTTTTCCTCCTGAATCACACATTTATCTCACACAAAAATCCTGACGCAGCAGATTCTGTGGAATACATTTTTCAGGAAACATAAACTCAAGGTCAGAGGACGTCACTGGAGTCACATAAAACTATTATTGCAATTTACGGCAAGTCCCATAAAGTTACAGCACTTTGTCCCTGTACTCCTCAAGAGTCCAAGCAGGAGGCCTGTCCCTGTGCTCCTCAGAGTCCAAGCAGAAAGCCAGTCCCTGTGCTCCTCAGAGTCCAAGCAGGAGGCCCGTCCCTGTGCTCATCAGAGTCCAAGCAGGAGGCCCGTCCCTGTGCTCCTCAGAGTCCAAGCAGAAAGCCAGTCCCTGTGCTCCTCAGAGTCCAAGCAGGAGGCCCGTCCCTGTGCTCATCAGAGTCCAAGCAGGAGGCCCGTCCCTGTGCTCCTCAGAGTCCAAGCAGGAGCCCCGTCCCTGTGCTCATCAGAGTCCAAGCAGAAAGCCAGTCCCTGTGTTCCTCAAGAGTCCAAGCAGGAGCCCCGTCCCTGTGCTCATCAGAGTCCAAGCAGGAGGCCCGTCCCTGTGCTCCTCAGAGTCCAAGCAGGAGGCCCGTCCCTGTATTCCTCAGAGTCCAAGCAAAAGGCCTGTCCCTGTGCTCCTCAGAGTCCAAGCAGAAGGCCCGTCCCTGTGCTCCTCAGAGTCCAAGCAGGAGGCCCGTCCCTGTGATCCTCAGAGTCCAAGCAGGAGGCCCGTCCCTGTGATCCTCAGAGTCCAAGCAGGAGGCCCGTCCCTGTGCTCCTCAGAGTCCAAGCAGAAGGCCCGTCCCTGTATTCCTCAGAGTCCAAGCAGGAGGCCCGTCCCTGTGATCCTCAGAGTCCAAGCAGGAGGCCCGTCCCTGTGCTCCTCAGAGTCCAAGCAGAAGGCCCGTCCCTGTATTCCTCAGAGTCCAAGCAGAAGGCCTGTCCCTGTGCTCCTCAGAGTCCAAGCAGGAGGCCCGTCCCTGTGCTCCTCAGAGTCCAAGGATGAGGCCAGTCCCTGTGATCCTCAGAGTCCAAGGAGGAGGCCAGTCCCTGTGATCCTCAGAGTCCAAGGAGGAGGCCAGTCCCTGTGATTCTCAGAGTCCAAGGAGGAGGCCAGTCCCTGTGCTCCTCAGAGTCCAAGGAGGAGGCCAGTCCCTGTGATCCTCAGAGTCCAAGCAGAAGGCCTGTCCCTGTGCTCCTCAGAGTCCAAGCAGAAGGCCCGTCCCTGTGCTCCTCAGAGTCCAAGCAGGAGGCCCGTCCCTGTGATCCTCAGAGTCCAAGCAGGAGGCCCGTCCCTGTGATCCTCAGAGTCCAAGCAGGAGGCCCGTCCCTGTGCTCCTCAGAGTCCAAGCAGAAGGCCCGTCCCTGTATTCCTCAGAGTCCAAGCAGGAGGCCCGTCCCTGTGATCCTCAGAGTCCAAGCAGGAGGCCCGTCCCTGTGCTCCTCAGAGTCCAAGCAGAAGGCCCGTCCCTGTATTCCTCAGAGTCCAAGCAGAAGGCCTGTCCCTGTGCTCCTCAGAGTCCAAGCAGGAAGCCCGTCCCTGTGCTCCTCAGAGTCCAAGGATGAGGCCAGTCCCTGTGATCCTCAGAGTCCAAGGAGGAGGCCAGTCCCTGTGATCCTCAGAGTCCAAGGAGGAGGCCAGTCCCTGTGATTCTCAGAGTCCAAGGAGGAGGCCAGTCCCTGTGCTCCTCAGAGTCCAAGGAGGAGGCCAGTCCCTGTGATCCTCAGAGTCCAAGGAGGAGGCCAGTCCCTGTGATTCTCAGAGTCCAAGGAGGAGGCCAGTCCCTGTGCTCCTCAGAGTCCAAGGAGGAGGCCAGTCCCTGTGATCCTCAGAGTCTCAGCCGTCCCCACAGGTTTGAAATTAAATCAAACTATCTAACTATCTATAAATAAATGGGGACCTCTCTGTTTGACAATCTTCCTCTCTCTGTCTTTCTTCTCCGTTTGGTATGCAGAGCCTTTCTCGGTCACCCGGTGGCAGCAGAGAGTCAGGACTGCTTTTTGTGATTCCACAGTCCCAGTCTTGATCTTTCAGTGGGGGCTTCAGGGAAAGTGGGGTTAAGTGTCTTGCCCAAGGACACAATGTCAGCAGAGATCAGGGGCGTAGCTCAAACCCACGACCTTCAGGCTCAAAGACCAATGCTCTACCATCTGAGCCACTGTTGCCACTAACTCACACTCAAAGTTATTGTATACATGCAGCAGTGTTTTTCTACCAGTCACGTTAGTTTGTCTTGTACTGCTACTACTGCCACAATAGACAGAGACCAGAGAGACAGCAGAGAGAGAGAGAGAGAGAGAGACAGCAGAGAGAGAGAGGGAGACCAGATAGAACTGATTGGTGACACTTTGATGAGAATAACTTGTCTTTGTTAATAAAAGCTGCAGAGCTTAAGTTTCAGTTGGTGGGCGGTCATTTAAACAGATTATGCATTTTATCAACTGTTACTTCAAAAAACCTTGAGCCAAAGCCAATTCCTAGTTTGTTACTTACTCATTATTCTGAGTCTGGTGAAACATGGCTTAAAAAGGTTGGGGAACACTGTACAACAAGATAGTATCAGATTGTAATTACAAACAACATCTGAGCCCCTAATATTATTGTAATACATCCATGAACAAAGGACGTGGTCTGCTCTCTGCGCCCCTGCAGGTCAGAAGCGGTACTGCTACTACCGCCACAATAGAGCGAGAGGGGAGAGAGAGAGACCAGAGAGACAGAGATAGCGACAAAGAGTGAGAGAGAGAGACCAGAGAAATAGAGATAGCGACAAAGAGAGAGAAAGAGAGAGAGAGAGACAGAGAGAGAGAGAGAGTCAGTGAGAGACCAGAGAGAGTGCATCAGAGGAGGGTCCCCAGCTCCAGACCCACGCTCGCAGCTTTGGCCCCTCATCATGCACTGACCCTCCTCTGCCTCCTCCTCTGCCTCCTCCTCTCTCCACCCGGTGCTCCTCCATGCTGAGGCTGAGTCCATGGATGTGCCGATCCGGGGCATGGAGGCTGAATGCGGGAGCACAGCGGCGGCGGTGGGGACCTTCTTGTCTCTGAGTGAGCAGGAGCAGCGGTACTACTCCGAGCTCCATGCGCGGTGTCAAACTGACGGCTCCGGGAAACTGTCCTCTGTCCGAGTGGCCGAGCTCTTCAAGGCGTCGCAGCTGCCGCCGGACGCGCTGCATAAAGTAAGTGATGTGTGGAGACTAGAGTGGACACATGCTTCAGCTGCAGATCCTGCTCTACCCAAAGATCCGAGGCTTTCCTCCGCAGATCCACAGCACATATAAGCTCTCCCCCCTCTCCCTCCTGGTGCTCCCCGCAGACACCAGAGCACCACACCTATTCTGCCGGTGTCAGTGCCATGTATCACGCCACCTCTGCATTCGGCTCCTGAGAGAGGGTTATTGTCACGTGGGTTTTTGCGATTCTCAAGCTGTGGCGTTAGTACCGTCTGTGTTCTCTTCTCCTTCGGGTTTATCCCTAATGTAGGCAGTGTTGGCAAAGGTACTTCAAAAACCTAATCCATGTTGTGTTACTTGTTACTGTTATTTCAAAGTAATGTATTATATTACAATATTTCTGTCTCTGAATTGTAAAGCATTACACTACTGCTGTATTACTTTGAAGTTACTTTCCCCAATATATACATAAACCTAACTGTTATGTTCCACATCTTTGTCTCCAATTAATTCTAAAATTTAAATAATGGCAGTCTGTCCATTTGTATAATATACTAATGTCCAGTAGAGCCTGGTTCTGCTTCAGCCTCAGCCGTCCTCTACCAGAAAGGCACAACGCTTCAATTCAATTTATTCTTGTATAGCCCTAACACACAACAGTAGTGCAGGGGACTTAACAAAACCGTTGAAATTGCCAACACTGATCAGAGAATCAAACAGTTCAAACACAAAAACTATAGAACACATAGGTATTGGTCCATAGGGGGACCATTTAATGTCCATACATGTAGAATGTTAGAATGCCTTGGATCATTGCCACAGTCCTTTTTGTTAGACCTCTAACAGTCTAACAAAACCTTTGGCATCAGAGGAGGGAAAAACTCAGTGAGAGAAAAGTGAGAAACCTCGGGGAGAACCACATTGAGAGAGGGATCTGCTCCACACGGACGCACATGCTATAGATCCAGGACCTACAGAACGAGGACCAAGGCCACACAGCGGTTGTAGAACGAGGACAGGTGCGGTGCAGGACTGAGGCAACTCCCAGGCGGGGAGGGGGTGCAGCCCATAAGGCTGCTTCAGCCTCAGCCGTCTTCTACCAGAAAGCAACAACACTTCTAGGCAAATACTATTGGAGCAGAGGAGTTCTCCTGCTGATCTCGCGATGCAGAGTACTTTTTTTTTTTTTTTTAAACAGTATTTCATTTAAGTTAAAATGCAATGTAATGCAGAGATTTTTTCTGATTTTGTTATGACTCCGTAGCTGCAGGCACTCTCTGACTCCTTTCTTTACACTTTTGTTTCAGTAAAAGAACCTTCGGAGCCTGAAACCAGTGAATAAAATAATTAAAAGGCAGAACTTGCCCTGACCCATCTGTGTGGGCGGGTCAGGAAGCAGAGATGGGGCTTCCTTCCTGCTCCTCCCTGGAAATGTGCCTCCTCCACTCTGGGGCAAACCGAGGGAGACCCAGGCAGACACATGCTGACCCAGTGGCAGCAAGAACAACTATAGCTTTAACTTTTCTCCTCCAGCAAAGTGATGGTTTTGCCAAAGGGAGAGGCTGTCTCACATATTTTATTGTTTACATAACAGTACAGTGTCCCCTGCAGAAAGAGACACTGGGGAAACACATCTGATCCCAGTTTGCCGATTAGACTTCTGCGTGATTTATTGGGAAACGCACAGACATAGGGGAAAAATCAAATTAAAAATGAAAAGTGAATTTGTAAAGATGCTCTTTGTTTATGCATGATTTATTATAAGAAACACCATATATTCAAGGTTCCTGAGCCTCTAATGAAAGAGAAAAGACAATCTAGTTACATTTCATCCTCACGAGTCTGATTGAGGATCTCTGAGTTTCACCTGAACGCAGCATTAAGCCCTGATCACTTTACACAAGTGTTTATTTCCATCAGGGTATGGTGTGTGGAGCTGGTTCCTCTGGTTCCTCTGGTGTGTGTTATCTCCTGCTGAGTTCACAAGTCTCTCTGAAATAATTTCAATTGTATACCTATATTTGGGCATCGTCTGGTCCTCACGGTTCTGCGCAGTGGACGAGCTCCCATGATGCGTTGCACCAAATACGCTTGTGTGGCTTTTATGCACGAGCACAGAGGGGCTCGGCCGCGCTCTGACCAATCAGAGCTGCTGATCAGAGCAGCAGAGCGGAGTCAGAGCGGGAAGGAAAGGAGCCGAGTTTGTGGCAGTAAAGTGTGGATTAAAAGAAAACCGAAAGATTTAAGAAGAAAAAAGGTTCAGGATGACAAGGGACACAAAAATCTCCACAAAATCAGACCTTTATGAAAGTTGCAGGTTCTCTGTCAGCTGAGGTCGGCAAAAAGGAGGATGGCTGCTCTAACGACACAACCTTGATCTTTCAGCAGGGGCTTCAGACAAAGTGTCTTGCCCAGGGACACAACTGAACCGCCATCACCAGTTAACAACTGGATTCCAAAGGTTCTGAGCTTCAAGAAGAGACTGTATTGGTGTAGCTGAAGTTGGCTGGATGACCCTGCGGATACTGAGTTAGCAGCAGAGAGTTGCAGTCACCGCTGGCTTGAACCATAGACTGTAGACATTGAAATGTCGTTCCTATGGACATAGATGTCTCTATGGAAACAGATGATGGGGAATTGTATATGTGGTTATATGACAGTGATGCAGAGTCCATACATGATGTGCACACACACTTTTAGACTAACAGACACATAAACACACACACACACACACACACACAGTGACTCCCTCTCTCTGTTGTTGCAGGTGACAGAGGTGTGTGGAGCTCAGAGACTCGGATACTTTGGAACAGCTCAGTTCTATGTCGCTCTGAAACTTCTTTCTGCGGCTCAGTCTGCTCTACCCCTGCGCATCGAGAGCGTCTCTGCCAGTAAGTCTAATGTTAGACAGTAAGTCTAATGTTAGACAGTAAGTCTAATGTTAGACAGTAAGTCTAATGTTAGACAGTAAGTCTAAGGTTAGACTGTAAGTCTAAGGTTAGACTGAAGTCTACAGTAAGTTGTCTGACAGCAGTAATAATAATAAAAGTGCATCACTTTTTGGACGCTCAAAGTCTCTTCACATAATTAATCTTTCACTCCAAACATAGTGGTGATAAACTACTATTGTAGCCACAGCTGCCCTGGGGCACACTGACCGAATCAAGGAAACCAGTCTACCATCAGCCCCTCCCACCACCTCCAACCATTCACACACACACAAGGACACAACTACAGTTTGGCACTTTACAGCCGCACCACTGTGACACCTGGTGTTCCCATAGGTCTCCCATCACATCACTAACCAGGCTCTGTCCTGCTTAAAAAGTAAGTCTGATGTCCTGCCCCTGAGCGCAAAGCCGGCGTCTTGTGAGAGGATCAGCAGATTATCTTTAAACGACTGGATTTGTCTAATCTGGGCAAAGTAGGAGTCACATGACCTCAGAACACACAAAGATTCAGATTTGAATTCAGATTATTTTCCATTTGCAGTAAAACAACATTGGAAACATGTGCAGAAGTCCCCAGTGCGCAGCTCACAAATACATAAATAAAAAAAGAACAGACACAATAATCACAAAAACAGCTTCAACAGATCATTAAAGTGCTTTGTTCAGACTGAGCTGAAAGCAGCTGTTAGCATGCTAGCATGCTAGCATGCTAGAATAGTAGAATGGAATTAAGATGTTAGAATATATTGTGTCACCTGCTTCCCCCGTGTCTTCCTTAGTTCTACTTCCTGTTGTGTGATGACCCACCCTCATGTGTTTCACCTGTGTCTGGTTAGTTTCAAGTATTTCAAAGAATATAGAAGTATTATCTATATCTGTAGTATAATCTATACTCTTTGTAACGTGGCGTTCCTCACTCCCTGACCCGTCATTTCTTCGTCTCGTCCTCTTTGGTTTCTTTTTCTATTTTTTACGCTGGATTCTAATTTTGTTTTTGCTTTGATTAAATCACTTTTGGATTAATTTAATTCTGCCAACACAACAACGAGACAAGGAATACACAGGGTTTAAATACACAACACTAACGAGACAGAGGTGGACACATGAGGGCGGGTCATCACACAACAGGAAGTGAAGAGTCATGGATCGAGAGAGACATGAGGAATGAGGCCCTGAGAATGAAGAATTAGACACTTCGCAGACGTTGCAAAGCAATTAGCAATAACGGCTCCTGCGCTGCTCCCAGCATGCTCCACTGCACTGGGCAGTGGAACTTTACAACACAACACATGCGACCCCCAGCAGTATATTCACTTCCTCAAAAACATCCTCCTCAGGCCGCCGCAAAGACGTGAATGAATGCAGCAACATCATTCTGCATTTAACAACGAATAGAAACTGAAACTAGAGCGTTGCGTGATTTTGTTTGGACGAACAAAGGAGTAGAATCCTCCTCCATGTAGCGCTCGAAGTGTGCCCACCGCCATTGTTGTTTACGTTTGTTCTCGGACACTGCACATGTCCAAATGTACGTGCGGGAAGTAAAGGTGAGAAACAGACCCCGCTGAGCAGCGTATCTGTTCTGTTCCATCTGGAGGCTGTTTCTCAATGCTTGCGTTTTCACCCGAAACCGCATTCAAACCGATACCGATCTGAGTTGTGTTTTTGTTTATATCTGCGCAGTGGTATAACATTTTGGGATTTGAACACCTTGAATCTTGGTCTTTGGTCTTTGACCAATTTGTTCATGCGCAACAACAAATGTAAAAATACAAGGGAACACCAGACATTCTGATCCCTATAACTCTCCTCCTCAGTCCTGGCCTGTTGTCTCCTCGTCAGACCTCCCTCCTTTTGTCTCCTCCTCAGATCTCCCTCATGTTGTCTCTCCTCAGACCTCCCTCCTGTGGTCTCCTCCTCAGACCTCCCTCCTGTGGTCTCCTCCTCAGACATCCCTCCTGTTGTCTCTCCTCAGACCTCCCTCCTGTTGTCTCCTCCTCAGACCTCCCTCATGTTGTCTCCTCCTCAGACCTCCCTCCTGTGGTCTCCTCCTCAGACCTCCCTCCTGTTGTCTCCTCCTCAGACCTCCCTCCTGTGGTCTCCTCCTCAGACCTCCCTCCTGTGGTGTCCTCCTCAGACCTCCCTCCTGTTGTCTCCTCCTCAGACCTCCCTCATGTTGTCTCCTCCTCAGACCTCCCTCCTGTTGTCTCCTCCTCAGACCTCCCTCCTGTTGTCTCCTCCTCAGACCTCCCTCATGTTGTCTCCTCCTCAGACCTCCCTCCTGTGGTCTCCTCCTCAGACATCCCTCCTGTTGTCTCCTCCTCAGACATCCCTCCTGTTGTCTCCTCCTCAGACCTCCCTCCTGTGGTCTCCTCCTCAGACCTCCCTCCTGTTGTCTCCTCCTCAGACCTCCCTCCTGTTGTCTCCTCCTCAGACCTCCCTCCTGTTGTCTCCTCCTCAGACATCCCTCCTGTTGTCTCTCCTCAGACCTCCCTCCTGTGGTCTCCTCCTCAGACCTCCCTCCTGTTGTCTCCTCCTCAGACCTCCCTCCTGTTGTCTCCTCCTCAGACCTCCCTCCTGTTGTCTCCTCCTCAGACATCCCTCCTGTTGTCTCTCCTCAGACATCCCTCCTGTGGTCTCCTCCTCAGTCTAACCTGTTGTCTCTCCTCAGACCTCCCGCTGCCCAGGTTTGTGGGGCTCCAGACTGAGGCAGAGGTGTGGTACCCCTCCGCTCCTGCAGGAGGAGGAGAGGGCACTGGACCTGGATTCTCCTGGACAAAAGCAGACAGAAACACATACAGACATGTGGATTCTGCGGCCGAGAAGGAGCTGTGGTCTCCCCCCAGGTCTCCGAGCGTCTCCCCCCCTCGCTCTCCCCCAGGCTACCATGGTTATGCCTTCCCTAGGAACGGGACAGAGCCCCACATGGGTGAGAACTCAGAACTTATTCATGGACACAATTCTAGACCGGCACAACCTCATTGTGATGTCTAATTTTGTTCAGAGTAAAAACAACAGCTTCAAAAATATAATCCTTGCTGTGGATCTTATCAGCATTCTCTCAATAACTGAGCACTGTATTGTTTTACTGTTTTCTTGTGTTTCTCAGTCTATGATCCGCTCTCGTCTCGCTCAGTCGCTCACATAGAGACTAACTCCTCTCCCGGACACTACTCCATCTCCTCATCTGACCTCTCCTCTGCTCCTCTGGTCCAGGTAAGAGCCTCCTCTTACCTCCCTCTGCTGCTGTGGTACAGGTTCGATGTTTGTGTTGTGCTTTTACTTGTCCCATAAGCGTCATGCGGTGTTCTTGCCGATTAATTAACATTATTAGGCATGGAAAAGCTCATTAACAGGATTTGGTGCGCCCCTAGTGGTCACCTGTGGGACATGCACCCTCTACGTAATGTAGTATTTTGCTGGTACTGATGTAAAGATTTGACTTGGTGCGACTTTGGTGAGGATCGGAAAGGTTTATGTCAGAAGCCTCCCATAGGTGGCGCTCTAAAGTTATATTAGGTGTGTATTTTCACACCATTACCAACTGTTTGTGATTTGAGTTTCAGCTCTGTAGATGATGCCTGGAGGCGGCTGCGAGAGTGGCAAGGCCTTTCATCGCCGCTTTTGGCTTTAATTCAATTTATTTTTTACAGTTTGACAATAGGAAATGCAATAAGAACAAACACATAGGAGCCACTGGGTGAGGACTTTGGTTAGAACACCCTCCTGCGTCAGAGAGGAACCGCTCAGAACCCAGAGGGAAAATGGCTCTGAAAAAACATTTGTCCTGTTTTTCCAGTCTGGCTCCTGTGAGAGACTTGACCAGCAGGGGGCGGTGTCCTGTGAGGATGACCCCTGGAGGATCACAGAGGAGCAGCTGCAGTATTACACACACCAGTTCACACGTCTGCAGCCGGACCTGGGCGCTCTCATCATTGGTAAGATTCACTTTAAAGGGAGGAACAAAGACATATTTATTTACACGTCCCTGTGTTAGAGTCCCAGTCGTTACAGCTTTCCACAGCTTTCAAAATACCACAATAACACAATAACACATATACGACAACACAGCAGTCACAACAAGAGAGAAGGCCCGTAAAATTATAATGAAATGAATAATAACAAATACTCTGTTAGACGAATACAGGATCTCTTAATTCTAAAATGCCATTAAAAGTAATTCTGGTTCATTTTCAAGTTTGTCTAGCACTGTTGAAAATTGTAAATCGGTAAAATTGTAAATCTGTCTCAATTCTATAAAACTCAATGTATTTTTGTATTGCCTTAAATCACAACAGTAGTTATCTTGGAGGACATTATAAAGCTGTCAATTCACCAAAACAAATTAGAGAATCAAACCGTTCAAACACAGGAAATACAATAATAAAAAACAAAACTGAGGCTGTAGATCCAGGACTGAGGCTGTAGATCCAGGACTGAGGCTGTAGATCCAGGACTGAGGCTGTAGATCCAGGACTGAGGCTGTAGATCCAGGACTGAGGCTGTAGACCCAGGACTCAGGCTGTAGACCCAGGACTCAGGCTGTAGATCCAGGCCCGAGGCAGTAGACCCAGGACTAAGGCTGTAGATCCAGGACTGAGGCTGTAGCATTGCGCGTAGCTTGTAGAGTAACTTTGAGAAAACTTTGAAAGAAAGTATGGTTTTAAATTCTTTGATAACAGCAGCAGCAGCTCGATAACCTCAGGGTCAGTATTCAGTCTGTGGCAGAGAGAGAGCTGTGATCGGCGTTTGCCCTGGATGCCCTCCCTCTCTCTTCAGCTGCAGCCGCTCCAATAAATCAACTTTAGTTTAGAAAATCACAAACTTTTACAGAAAAAACACACTGTCATTAACATCAGGGAATAAGGCTGACATTTGTACATCGGAAAAACAACGTGTGTGTGTGTGTGTGTGTGTGTGTGTGTGTGTGTGTGTGTGTGTGTGTGTGTGTGTGTGTGTGTGTGTGTGTGTTTAGTATGTGTATAGTATAATATTGTTCTGTCTGTTTACTCTCAGGAGCCTTGGCCAAAGACTTCTTCACAAAATCAAAGTTGCCGATTCCAGAGCTTTCGCACATTTGGTGAGATTCAAGTCTTTTGTTTGTTCTCTCTCTCCCTTCTCCTCCTCTGTCCTTTTCCCGTCTCTCTCCTCTCTTCTGTCTTTCCCCTCTCTTTCTCCCATCTCTCTCCTTCTCTATGTACTCTCATCTATCTCCCATCTACTTCTCTTTCCCGTCTCTCTCATGTCTCTCCCTTCTCTCTCTCCTCTCTCTCCACTCCCCTCCTCTCTTCCATCTTTCTCCTCTCTGCTCTCCTGTCTCTCCCCTCTCTCTCTCCTCCTTACTCCTCTCTCCTCTTTCTCCCCTCCTCCCATCTCCTCTGCTCTCCCATCTCTCTTCTCTGCCTCTCCTCCCCTATCTCTCTTCTCTCCCCTCTCTCCCCTCTCCTCCTCTCTCCCATCTATCTTCTCTCCCCTCTCCTGCCTCTCTCTACTCTCTCTTCCCACTCCTCCCCTCTCCTCCTCTCTCCCCTCTCTCTCCTCCTCTCTCTACTCTCCCCTCTCTCTCTCCTCTCCCCTCTCTCTCCCCTCTCCTCTTCTCTCCCGTCTCTCCCCTCTCTCTCTCCTCTCTCTCTACTCTCTACTATCTCTCTCCTTTTCTGACCTGCACTAGGACTGAAAACTCACACTGCTATAGTCACGTTTGATTTTAATTGTATATAAAATACCTTGCACAAAAGCTTTCACGTTTTAACATGTTTGCACATTCCTTGTCTTTTTGCACACCCTGAGTGATTCTATCTATTCCAAATGTGACATGTACATTTCTCCGTTGTGAGATCAATAAAGTTTTTCTTACCTCACAGGGAGCTGAGTGACGTGGACAGAGACGGGGCTCTCACCTTCTCAGAGTTCTGCACAGCCTTCCATCTGATCGTGGCTCGTAAAAATGGCTACCCCCTCCCTGAGAGCCTGCCCCCCCCTCTGAGACCTGTCCAGGAGAGGGAGGAGGAGGACGAGGAGGAGGAGGAGGAGGAGGTGCCGGACACTCCCCAAGTATGGAGCCGGCTATACATATATATATCACATCTGTCACATATCATAGATGTATTATAGGTTGTGTTCATGTCATATCCCAAAAATTCTAAGTCTCTTTGGTCTCTCTCTCTCTCTCTCTCTCTCTCTTTCTCTCTTACTCTCTGTCTTGGCCTCTCTTTCTTTTTCTCTCTCTCTGGTCTCGCCTTGATGTCTCTGGCTGGTTTCTCAGCCCAAAGAAAAAAAACCGCATACCCTATATCTATCCGACTGAATCATCTAAATTCTTTGTCGAAATTTAGCAATGCCTCTATTGTTTGTTGCAGAGCGTGGAGCCCCTGATTGTCTTCGAGGACCCTGAGATGAACACACAGGTCAGTGACTGGTTTTACCGTGCATGCAGTACTACGTGTGGCCTGTAGGCGTCACTGTTGTGGTGATGAATGCGTGCAATCATTAGAATCAGAATCAGAATCATTTTTATTGCCACGTAAGTAACAGGAGGTCACAGACTAGGAAATTGCTTTGGCTCAGTGCAACAGTCAAAAAGAGATAATAAAAATAAGAATAAAAAACACTTCTAAAGAATAAATTTAAATTTAAAACAGAGTTACAGTTACTATTTACAATATACAAGTGCACATGGTGCACACAATGTAAGGTGACAGCAGTACAGTGAAGTAAAGTGACGTATGATGGGCAGTAAAGTGACTTTATAAAGGGCGGGGGGACAGGTTAAGAAGTGTTCAAGAGTCCAACAGCAGAGGGGAAGAAACTGTTCTTGTGGCGGGAGGTTCTAGTCCTGATGGACCGCAGCCTCCTGCCTGAGGGGAGTGGTTGGAATAGTCCATGTGCAGGGTGAGAGGGGTCGGCTGTGATACGACCAGCCCGGCCTCGAGCTCGGGCGACGTACAGGTCCTGCAGCGATGGAAGGCTGCGGCCGATCACTTCCTCTGCAGAGCGCACAATGCGCTGTAGTCTCTGTTTGTCCCTGACTGTGGCTCCAGCGAACCACACGGTGACGGAGGAGGTGAGGATGGACTCGATGATGGCCGTGTAGAACTGCACCAACATCTGTGCAGGCAGCTTGGCTTTCCTGAGCTGCCGCAGGAAGTACATCCTCTGCTGGGCCTTCTTGATGAGGGAGCTGATGGTCGGCTCCCACTTGAGGTCCTGGGTGATGGTGGTGCCCAGGAAACGGAAGGACTCCACAGAGGTGATGGGGGAGTCCATCACGGAGGGTGGGGGTGGGGGGACAGTGCTCTTCCTGAAGTCCACAATCATCTCCACTGTCTTCTGGGCGTTCAGCTCCAGGTTGTTACCACTGCACCAGGACACCAGCCGGTCCACCTCCCTCCTGTAGGCGGACTCATCGTTGTTGGAGATGAGTCCAATGAGGGTGGTGTCGTCCGCGAACTTGATCAGCTTCACGGAGTCGTGGCTGGAGGTGCAGTGGTTGGTGTACAGGGAGAAGAGCAGGGGAGAAAGAACACAGCCCTGTGGGGCACCTGTATTTATAATCCGAGAGTCAGAGACATTCTTCCCCAGACGCACTCGCTGCTTCCTGTCCGTCAGGAAGTCAGTGATCCACCTGCAGGTGGAATCGGGCACGTTGAGCTGGGAGAGCTTGTCCTGGAGCAGGGATGGCAGGATTGTGTTGAAGGCAGAGCTGAAGTCCACGAACAGGACCCTGGCGTAGGTCCTCGGGGAGTCCAGGTGCTGTAGGATGTGGTGGAGGGCCAGGTTAATGGCGTCGTCTACAGATCTGTTGGCTCTGTATGCGAACTGCAGGGGGTCCAGGAGGGGGGAGGTGAGGGACTTGAGATGGGAGAGAACCAGGCGTTCAAATGACTTCATGACGACAGACGTAAGTGCTACAGGTCTGTAGTCATTGAGTCCTGTGATCCTGGGCTTCTTCGGGACGGGGACAATGATGGAGGATTTGAAGCAGGCCGGGACATGGCAGGACTGCAGAGAGGTGTTGAAAATGTCCGTGAACACAGGAGTAAGCTCACTGGCGCAGTGTCTCAGAGTGGCCGGAGACACGTGGTCCGGGCCAGGAGCTTTGCGGGGGTGCAGCCTCAGGAAGAGTTGTTTAATCTCTTTAGCGGCTATTGTTAGGCTGGGGGCAGGGCTGATGGGTGGGTTGTTAGAGTAGTGGGGGGTGGGGGAGGGAGAGGTGTCAGGGGCAGCATCAAAGCGACTGAAAAATAAGTTCAGATCGTCAGCTAGCTTGTGGTCGTCAGCACAGGGGGGGGCTTTGGGTTTGTAGTTGGTGATCTCCCGTAGGCCCCTCCAGACAGAAGCAGTATCGTTGTTACCAAACTGCTCCTGTAGTCGTTCTCTGTGCCGGGACGTGGCTGCTTTCAGTTCTCTCCTGAACTGATATTTAGCTGCTACAAAGCAGCTAAATATCAGTGAAAGCAGACTCCTTTGCTTTCCTGAGCTGCCGGAGTTTAGCAGTGAACCAGGGTTTGTCGTTGTTATAGATGACCCTGGTCCTTGTTGGAATGATGCTATCCTCACAGAAGTGAATGTATGACGTCACAGTGTCCGTATATTCATCCAAACTATCTGTGGCAGCTCTGAAAAGGTCCCAGTCTGTAGATTCCATGCATGCGCGCAGCTCTTCCACAGCTTCATCAGACCACACTTTGGAGCTCCTCATTGCAGGTTTCGAGAGCTTTAGTCTCTGTCTGTAAGCAGGAACCAGATGTATCATGGAGTGATCTGAGAAGCCGAGGGCTGGCTTGGGAACAGCGCGAAAAGCTCCGCGCACGGTGGTGTAACAGTGATCCAGAGTGTTCTCCTCTCTGGTCGGGCATTTGATAAACTGTCTGTATTTGGGTAATTCCTGGCTCAAGTTTCCCTTATTAAAATCCCCCAGGATAATAATCAGAGAGTCCGGGTATAAGCGTTCCATACACAGTACTTCTGAAACTATTGAAGGCTGCAGCAACAATCTGCGTGTTCTATTTTCAACAATCAATAGATTAACGAACCCCCCTGTTGAGTTGCCATTAGAACACTACTCCAAATCCAGGTGTAATGAGTTTGCACAGTTCTTCAGAGACAAGGTTCAGGGTATCAGAAATGCCATCACCTCTACAACACAAGTAACAATGCAACATCCAGTGAGGCTTTGTGAGCTAGCTCAATTTGCACCTGTCAATGATGAAACTGTTAAAAAGATAATCACAGGTCTTAGTTCCTCTACCTGCAGTCTGGATGTACTACCTCCTAGATTTCTGAAGTCTGTTATGTGTAGTCTATTACCCTCATTGACACAAATAGTAAACATGTCTTTTTTATCTGGAACATTTCCAATGGCCCTGAAAAAGGCAGTCATCAGGCCCCTCCTAAAAAAGAGCAGTTTGGATGCTGCGGTACTTGAAAATTACCGTCCCATCTCAAATCTGCCTTTCATGGGAAAAATTCTTGAAAAAGTTGCCTACCAACAACTTACTGAATTTTTAATATCTAATGACTCATTTGACATGTTCCAGTCTGGCTTTAGACCACACCACAGTACTGAGACCGCTCTAGTCAAGGTAACAAATGATATTCGGCTTAACACTGATGCAGGAAAAGTCTCTGTTTTAGTCATGTTAGATCTGAGTGCCGCTTTCGACACCGTTGACCATGAGATTCTCATGCAGAGACTGGAGGACTGGGTTGGTGTTGCTGGTACCGCCCTAAGCTGGTTTAGGTCCTATCTAGAAGAAAGGAAGTATTGTGTGGAGATTGGAGACTATGTCTCAGATAATATGGCCCTGACCTGCGGAGTGCCACAGGGGTCGATTCTGGGACCTCTCCTGTTCAATATTTACATGCTGCCATTAGGTCAGTTAATTCAAAGTATGAAAGTGTCCTACCACAATTACGCTGATGACACTCAGATCTATGTCTCACTGACTGCAGGAGAGCATGGACCGGTGGACTCACTCCTTCGCTGTATCCAGCGGATCAGTGAGTGGATGCAATGCAATTTTCTCCAGCTAAATGCGGACAAGACCGAAATGATTGTCTTTGGTCCCGAGAAACAAAGAGAGACCGTCATTTGTCACCTTCAGTCTCTCTCCCTGGGGCCTTTAAATAAGGTCAGAAATCTGGGAGTAATAATGGACTCTGACTTAAACTTCAATAGCCACATTGGATCGGTAACATCAGCAGCTTTTTATCATCTGAAAAATATTGCCAAAATTAAAAATATTGTGTCCAGGGCAGACTTGGAGATTCTTATCCATTCTTTTGTTTCCAGTAGGCTGGATTACTGCAATGGCCTGCTCACAGGTATCTCCAAACATGCAGTAAAACAGCTGCAGTATATTCAAAATGCTGCAGCCCGAGTCCTGACTAGAACCAGGAAGTACGACCACATTAGTCCGGTCCTCAGGTCTCTGCACTGGCTTCCCGTGGCCCAGAGGATAGACTTTAAAGCAGCTCTCCTGGTGTACAAGTCTCTCCATGGCCTTGCACCAAAGTACATCCATGATATGCTAGTCCCATATGAACCAGCCCGGACTCTGAGGAGCGCAGGGACGGGACTCCTGTTAGTGCCCAGAGTCAGGACTAGACAGGGGGAGGCTGCTTTTCAGATTTATGCAGCTAAAGTCTGGAACAGTCTTCCTGAGGATGTGAGACTGGCTGCCTCTCTGTCAATGTTCAAATCCATGTTAAAGACTTTTCTTTTTTCCTGTGCATACAACTAGAGAATTTTATCTTTTTAACACACCTTGTTATTTATTGTTGTAACTTTTTGTGTTTTTAACAATTTTATTGTTTTTAATTACTTGTGTGATTCTTATGTTTTTAAATTACTTATGTGATTTTAATGCTTTTTAATTACATATGTGTTTTTAATTGTATTTTAATGGTGATGATTTGTGCATTGTGTGGTGTGGACTGTGAGGCGCTTTGTGTTGCCCTGTGCAGGAAAAGCGCCCTATAAATAAAGATTGATTGATTGATACTTGCTCTACGAGTGCGCGCTGAGCCTCGCGCGCGTCCGCGCATGGCGGTATGTAAACAGAGGCAAGAATGAATGAAACAATTTCGCGCGGGGAGTAATATGGTTTACAATGAATGAAAAGATATTCCAGAGCAGGAGAGCAGTGCTTGGAGATCACTGTCACATCGTTACACCAGTTTGTATTGACGTAGAAACACAGCCCTCCGCCCTGAGAGCGCACAATGGCGATCCGCGCGGAACTGCCCAAAGCCCTGCAGCTCCAGAGCGCAGTCCGGGATCCGCTCATTTAGCCAGGTCTCAGTGAAGCAGAGGACACAGGATGTGGCGAAGTCCTTGTTTCTTCTCATGAGCAGGCTGAGTTCGTCCATCTTATTGCCCAGTGAGCGTACGTTGGAGAGAAAAATGCCGGGGAGAGCCGTGCGCGCTCCTCTCCTCCTAAGACGCACGAGCAGGCCTCCGCGCTTTCCCCTTTTACGGGCCCACACTTTTTTGGCTAGAACATGAACTAAATCAGCCGCAGATGCCAAGAAAACAGGCAATAGGTCCATGGGAACGGTGGGTCGGATGTTCATAAGTTCCTCACGGGTGTAGGAACAGCCAGATGCGCAGTTAAAAAGTAAAAACAAAAGAAAAAGAGAGCAGCAAAGAGCCATGTCGACCGTACGAGGCGCCATCTTTGTTGTATCCACAGCACAGATTTATAGCCACAGATATGTACGAGTTCTTGGGTCGTATTTTAACTCCTGTCATTCTTTACACAGAGAACAGAGATTGCAGAAAGACTTCAGCCACAAATACAACTAAATACAAGTGAGGAGGACTCTAAACAAGGTAAAGACAAAAACATTATACACTAGAGTAACGTGTATTTAGGATAAGTAACCATTTAAAGCTGATGTAATACATGTCCGTCTTACACGTCCCTGGTTCTAAATCAGTTTGGTTCCTGTTTCTAAATTTCACACTGTATTTCTGTCACGTCTTTAAATCAGCTTTTTTCTGGTCTCTCTCTGGTCTGTCTCTGGTCTCTCTCTGGTCTCACTCTGGTTACTCTATGGTTTCTCTCCAGTCTTTCTCTGATCTCTTGCTGGTCTCTCTCTCTCTGCTCTCTCTCTGGTCTCTCTCTGGTCTCACTCTGGTCACTCTGGTCTCTCTGGTCGCTCTCTGGTCTCTCTCTGGTTACTTTATGGTTTCTCTCCAGTCTCTCTCTGATCTCTCTCTCTGGTCTCTCTGGTCTCTCTCTGGTCTCTCTCTGGTCTCTCTCTGGTCTCTCTCTGGTCTCTCTGGTCTCTCTCTGGTCTCTCTCTGGTCTCTCTCTGGTCTCTCTCTGGTCTCTCTCTGGTCTCTCTGGTCTCTCTCTGGTCTCTCTCTGGTCTCTCTCTGATCTCTCTCTCTGGTCTCTCTGGTCTCTCTCTGGTCTCTCTCTGGTCTCTCTGGTCTCTCTCTGGTCTCTCTGGTCTCTCTCTGGTCTCTCTCTGGTCTCTCTCTGGTCTCTCTCTGGTCTCTCTCTGGTCTCTCTCTGGTCTCTCTGGTCGCTCTCTGGTCTCTCTCTGATCTCTCTCTCTGGTCACTTTCTCTGGTCTCTCTCTGATCTCTCGCTGGTCTTTCTCTGGTCTCTCTCTTTGTTGTTCAAAAAACTCTTTATGTTGGTAAAAGGAACATTAATTTATATGAAACAAAAATGTAGTTGTCCCATGTTTTAAAGTACATGGTTGTACAAGTATAAATGAATTGTGTCATTACTTTAGTCTTCTCTGATGTTGACAGCTGACGCACACGTGCGAGGAGCAGCCCTGTTTCAACCCACTCCTTTTTCATTTCCACAAAGACCAGGTAACAATATAATAATAATAAGGGGGAGTTGGAGGCTTGAAGTGAACTTAAAAGTAATCCATGGCTCTTCTGATAAAGAAATAAAATAACACATAATGGATCTAAATCTGAGAATCGGTCGTTAAAAGCACAGACATGAATCTGTTTTACACATCCTGCACTTTCTCTGCAGGAGTGAACTTTGTAGACTAAGCTTCGGACTCACTGGTGTTCTCCTGTAGACCATGATGGTCGCAGTTTTCCCACTGTCCCTGAATCAGCACGTCACACCACATCACCTTTCTTGTGTTCGTGACTTCTATAGCCGGCTGAAGTGCCAGTGATGGGTTTTGTAGGAATTGTCGTGAGTGTGAGTGGGTTTTGAAGATGAGCTCCGCGCTGTGGTTTCTCTGTGCGTTTCAGATCCACCGATACTTCCCTCTGCTTTTGAGTATCTGCAAGTGAATATTCTTGGTGATATATGTATAATTGTGTATTCTGGGTAAATGTAGCTGTGTGTATCTGTGTGTGTGTGTGTGTGTGTGATCTTCTCCTTTGTCCCGCGCTGTGGAAAGTGTGTGTGTATCTGTGTGTGTGTGTGTGTGGGTTAACTTACTCCACTTTGTATACCCCCGCTGTGTGAAGGTGTGTGTGTTCTGTGTGTGTGTGTGTGTCAACAGGATCAGTGACCTGATATGTGTGTGATCTCTGTGTGTGTGTGTGTGTGTGTGTCTCTGTGTGGTGTGTGTGTCTCTCTGTGTGGTGTGTTCTCTCGTGTGTCAGTGTGTTGTGTGTGTGTGTGAGTGCGTGTCTCTCTCTCTCTTGTGTGTGTCTCTTCTCTCTCTGTGTGTGTGTGTCTCTTCTCTGTGTGTGTGTCTTCTGTGTGTGTGTCTCTTCTCTGTGTGTGTGTGTGTGTCTCTCTGTGTGTGTGTGTGTGTGGTTTTTGTCTCTGTGTGTTGTGTGTCTTCTGTGTGTGTGTGTGCGTGTCTCTCTCTGTGTGTGTGTCCTCTCTTCTGTGTGTGTGTGTGTCAGTGATGATCAGTGACCTGCGTCGATGTCTTGAAATGCTTTTCGTCTTGGATCTAAAGTCTGACATTTCCAACTGCAGCAAAAGTAAACCTGGTTGATTTTCAGGATTAATGAGGTCTGCTCAGAACAGAATTAAAAGTCTATAATTCAAGATATTTGTTTAATGTGTGATAATTGGCTCTAACTAAAAACGAAAAAACCTTATGAAAAAGACAAAAGTTCTAACTAGATTCTGGGAACTTATTTTATGACGTATTTTGACATCACTTTTTGTCGTTTCGTTTATTATTTGGATTTAACCAAAAAACCGGACCAAATATAAAGATTTTAATGATAAGTGGGGTTCAGATTATAGAAATATAAAATTGGTGAGGTATAACAAGCCTTGGTCGTCCATTACCATCAGCTGCAGGTTCATGTTGGATCATTACAAATTTCCTGTTAGGGGCCTCTCCTAAGAGTCTTGAATGAGTCTGTTTCATATTTTTTTAGTTTCAAATTTTAAAATAATTTAAAATAAAAAAAAAAAAAAAAAAAAAATAGTGTATTTGAATTTTACATTAAAAAACCTTCTTTAATCTTTGACAACCGACAGCGAACAATCATGTCCAAGCAGCTAGTTTACGATCGAACTAAAGAGTTTTTCTACATGAAATGAAGTAGTGGTCATTTCTCAGTGAATCACAAGGGGATCGTTTCAGTGACATCACCTCGTTACGGTCTAACATCAGAGCCCAGAGGTTAAGCTAAAGTTGAGCAACAGAAACCTCAGGAATGTTGCATCACTGTGGTGACATCATCTGAAGAAATCAACTAAACAAATACAAAGAATTTGGGTTTAACAAATGTCTGGTATTGTACATATTTCTACATAGATATAATTTGACAAAAACCCAGCTAACTAACATCCATCCAAGTTTCTTCCGCTTCATCCGTGCTGGGCACGGGGGCAGCAGTCTACGCAGAGACGCCCAGGGACTTCCCTCTCACACACTTCTCAGGCTCGTCCGAGGGAGACCCCAAGACATTCCCAGAGGCGACAACGTCCCTTCAGTGTGTCCTGGGTCTTCCGGGGTCTCCTCCGGTGGGACGTGCTCGAACTCCTCCCCAGGGAGGGTCCAGGAGGATCCGGAACCAGATGCGCTTCCTCTGTGGAGGGAATTTCATTCATTTCGACCGCTTGTATCCGCAATCTCGTTCTTTCGGTCACTACCCAAAGCTCATGACCATAGGGGAGGGAGGAACGTAGATTGACGGTAAATCGAGAGCTTTGCCTTTCGGCTCAGTCACTCTTTACCAAACGGTCCAATTACAGCGGACGCATCACTTGCGCACGCTGCCACCGATCCGCCTGTCAATCTCACGCTAATTCTTCCTCATCGTGAACAGGACCCAGAGATACTTGAATCTCCTCTGAGGGAAGAACCTTCTCCACCACTGAAGAGGGAAAGCACCTTTTTCCGGTTTTTTTTTTCGAGCACCATGGCCTCAGATTTGGAGGTGCTGATTCTAATCCAACGCTTCACACTCGGCTGCTAACCGTTCCCGTGCATGTGTAGGTCCTGGTTCGTTGCAACAGTAGAGATGAAATTCCTTTGGTCATCCGAACGGACCCCTTCCGACCCCTGGCTGCGCCTAGATTCTGTCCATAAACACAGTGAACAGAAAACCGTGACAAAGGGCAGCTGGTTAGCGGAGGCCAACATGCCCCGGGAACAGGTCTACTTACTGCTGTAAGTACCATGGAGTAAACCTTACCGGAGGAGGTGTGGAGTGTGAATTCCACGATAATTGGAACACACCCCTCAGGTACCCCTTCTTGTAGAGAGGGACCACCACCCCGGTCTGCCACTCAGTGGCACCGCCCCGATCGCCACGCGATGTCTGCAGAGACGTGTCAGCCCAAAACAGTCCACAACATCCAGAGACTTTAGAGTTCAGGACGAATCTGCCCCATCACTCCTGGGCGCCTGACACCAAGGAGGTAGCCAACACCTTGGTGACCTCAGCCGGGGAGATGGAAGTATCTGCCCCCACATCCTCAGCCTCTGCTCCGGAACGGAGGACGTGACGGGGATTGAGGAGACCCTCGAAGTTTTCCTTTCCACCCGTCCGAAATATCTTTCAGTGCGGTCAGCAGCCCTCCACCCGCACCGTACACAGTGTTGGAAGATCCATCGGTCGGCTCGAAGAGGTTCCGGCAGGCGCCGGACGGTTTGCCGGAACCTGTTCGAGGCTGGACCGATAGTCATGCTTTCCATGGACTCTCCGAAACTCCTCCCAGTCCCGGGTTTTTGCCTCTGCAACAGCCCGGGCTGCGGCACGCCTTGGGCCTGCCGGTACTGGACAGCTGCCTCAGGAGTGCCACTGAACCATCATTGCTCGATAGGACTCCTTCTTCAGCCTGACGGCATCCCTTACTGCGGTGTCCACCACCGGGTTCGGGGGTTTGCCGCGGGCCAGCACCAGAGACTTGCACCCCCAAAGCCTAGAGCTGCAGCATCGGGGATAGAGGTCAGAGAACATGGTTCCACTCAGACTCAATGTTAAGCTCTCCCGTCACCACAGTGAGAGGGACTTGTTCCCCACACAAAGGCGGAGGGACGGACCCTTTCCTTTCACCGGGGAGACTCCACAGGTGGAGCTGAGCTGGGGGCAATGTGAATGGCCACCCACACCGCCGTCTTCCCCGCGAGAAACGCCAGAAAAGGGGAGCATCCAATCCCTCTCACTTAGAATATGTCCCATTTTATTAATAGCATTAAATTCTGGGGGTAATTTTATTAATGCGAAATTAATAATTCAAATCTGGTCAGAATGTGCAATATTGATATTCTATATCGCACTTTTAAAGCCTTTTTTACTGTTTTATTGGTTGATTGCATAAATGTTTTAATAGATTTTATGTGAGTTATCGTAATGCACTTTGGTCGCCTTGAGTGTTGAGTGAAGCAGGGTTAAAGAGGGGTCTAAGCAGGGTCTAAGCAGGGTCTAAAGCAGGGTCTAAAGAGGGTCTATCCAGGGTCTAAACCAGGGGTCATACAGGGTCTATAAGCAGGGTCTTAAACCTGGAGGTCTAAAGAGGGTCTAAACAGGGTCTGAACAGGGTTTCTAAACCCGGGTCTAAAGGCGGGTCTAAAACCAGGGTCTAAAGCAGGGTCTAAAGCAGGGTCTATTTCTCCCGTGTGTGCACGCGCACTCTTCAAAACAAACATGGCGGAGAAGGAAAAGCCGCCTCGAGCGCTAACCTGGCAAAAGCCAGATTGATGATTGTGTAGAACTCTAACGCGTTCTCCGCGATAATGGATTTATTAAATTAAATACAGGCAAAACGCCAGAAACAGAGGAAGGACAGAAAGTAGGAGCAACATGGTGACCAGCTGCATTCATGTTGGCGACCTCTAGCTCCGTGGATTCCTCTCTCCGACTGAACAGGTGAGCATGTTACTCAGTAGTGGCAGTAGTAGTTGTATTATTTATACATATTGTTGCCTGAGACTGTAATGCGGGTTTTCACCAAGTTAGCTAGTTAAAAATCCCCAGCTGTTGTAGAAATACGGCCGCATTTTGTGGCAATAACTGCGCATTACCTTGGCTTAGCTTTGAGAAACAACAACAGACAACACAACATCGAAGCCTTAGCCCAGCCTTAGTCATCCATAAACTCCGGTCAATTATTAGTTCCCCACATGTACAAAATTAAATGACCATATCACCAGAGTTCCCCCGTGAAGTGGTGTTAGCATTAGCGTTCACTGTTAGCATTAGCGTTCACTGTTAGCATTAGCGTTAGCTGTTAGCATTAGCGTTAGCTGTTAGCATTAGCGTTAGCTGTTAGCATTAGCGTTAGCTGTTAGCATTAGCTGTCTGTAGTTGTGAATATGATGTGGCTGCTACGAACACTTCTGATCTGTATGAATCGTTTGTTTTTGCCAATAAACATAGTTGCTTGCACTATATATATATGTAGGTCTGCATTTCATTCTTCAATGACTAAGTTTTGCAACTTGCACTCTGTATATTAGTTTTATTGTTATAAAAACAATATCTCTTTACCTCAAATCTAACTTCCGTGACCACTACATACATTTTTATTATTATGTATTGAGAATAAGTAAGAAAAGTCTTGCTGACTACTACCAAATAAATTATGAGCATGATATAATATAGACATTGTAATAATTTACATGTCTTCATTGCATTCTTTTCTCTGTATCTTTTCCAGTATGGCCTAAATCAATTGGAATGAGGTCTTCAATGTACAAGAGTTCAAAAGCCTCCATAATGCAAGTTAAATAACTATAAAAAAAAAAACAATGCCATAACGACTAGATACTTTTCTGCTGACCTCTTCTTTCTCTAGTATTGACTGGGAAGACAAGACTTTGCTTCCATAATTAGAAGATCGGCCATTGTCATCTCCTGAGGAAGACTTTACACCCCACATTTGTCATGTAGGTTGTTGTGAATGCATATATGGGACGCAGTGATTATGATAATGATGTTGTGATGTGTGTGTCGTTCATCCCTACTGTTGTGTTGCTGCCCTGAGGTCCAAAATGAATATCCATCATGTTCCAGGAGTCAGTGTTGACAAAACTGTCGCTGAGTTTCTTCAACAATCAAGAGGAGTGAGATAATCACTCGACTCCCAAAACAGCCGATGTAAGTGTCTTTCTCTCACAATGCACGGTCTCTCACAGTCCAAATAAACATGTTCAAGGATCCTGTGGATCAGGGGCCACTCCTGGTGATCAATAAATACTGATGATATTGATGATGAATATATCAAAGTCATATTTGAGTAGATAAAACTGATGTCTCCTCTATTATGTTTCAAAGGAAAATCTCTGCCAGAGGAAGACTCCAGTTCCTTCAACCTGGGCCCCTGAAGCGTGGCTGTCTGTGTGTGTGACTGTGTGTGACTGTGTGTGACTGTGTGTGCTTGTGACTGTGTGTGCTTGTGGCTGTGTGTGCGTGGCTGCTTATGAATTATTTTGAGGAAATGTGTTCAAACAAGCTACAACATAAAGATTAACATTTTGTTAGATATCTCTGATAGTGTTCGCTGCAGCAGCGATGGATAAGGACCTGGATAATAACAGTGTTATTCATTTGAGCAACAAGTGATAACACAAACGTTGCCTTACCATCACTTGTAATTATTTGTCTTAGTAGGGACATTGTGTATATTTTTCCGGCTATAACTTCAAATCTTCTTTTACATAATAAAGTTTCTTAGACTCGTTACAGACTGTATTTGTTTTCCTACTATAAAACAAAGCACATTGAAAGAGGTGAATGTATTTTTTTTTATTTTGAAATAGTACAACTATAAACATATTTCAGAACTGCAGAGTGGACGTGCACCATGGGGGCCACTGAGGACGTGCACCATGGGGGCCACTGAGGACGTGCACCATGGGGGCCGCTGAGGAAAGCACGTTTTCAATGTCTGTTGGCACCTTTCACAGACGCATCAGGGAAAGGATCTGGTCATCAGCTTCTCTGGACAGAGGGCGTTCAGTGCTTCCTGAAAGAACCGTTATGACAAATGACTTTATATATTCTGTTACTTGTAGCTTTTCTTTCAAAGTGGTGAGTTTCCTTACAGTGTAATAGTGTAACGTAATTAGTTATGACAGTACTTTTGCGTTTCGGACAAGCTTTACTGGAATTGTTTTTCAGTCCCACATCTCACTGTACAGCTCTGATACACTTTGATTTTGTCTTCATTCTCTGAACAATAAGCACATAATACAGATGTTGATTACATCAATAAATGTATCTTTATTTTGTGACATTGAGAAGGCAGCTTCCAGTGAGATGCAGCTTTACTTTCACATAATACATTACTACAGTGTTGTCTATAAAGAACTCCAAATATACAAATTGTGAGGAAAGCAGTAATGTATTACTTTCAATAACCTTCATGTAAAGCTTTGTTGTTGTAATTATATGCATTACATTCATCTAATACATATGCAATGTAACAGATGTTACAGTGCATAATGTTGAGACACGTCACACTGCAATCTGCAACATTATGTTTATCACAACAGTTATCAGTGTACCAACTATAAAAGCAGTATTATTCTATAAAAGACTGAATTGTTTTTAATCTCTTTCTTAGTGATGCTATCCTAGCTAACACCAAGCTGCTTCCAGTGTTATAGCTAGGTTACAACTGAGCTATTCTATGCTAATATTTCACTCCCAGAGTTTGTTGTTAATATACTTACGAGTAGACCTGACGGAGATGAATCTGCTGCTGCCATCACCAAGACGATGCGCGTTCATGTGGTGTGACGAGGAGACGGGGGCGGGGCTACTAACTCGCTCAGGCAGAAGAAACTGCCGGAAACGACCAAATCGCTTACTGCTGCTTTAAGACAGACAGGACAGAGAGAAGTGTTGCAGAAGATGATAGTGACTTCAGGTATACTCTTTATAACAGAACAAAGTTGCAACATAGTTTACATTTTTATTGGCTATTGAAAATCATAACGAGACTATTTCCTGTTTTGGATGTGAAATAATATTTCATGCAGAAAATATATGGAAAACAAACACTGTTACTGGCCTGCACCCCCGTGTACTGCCACCAGAGGGCGCTGTGGCATTTGTCTTGTTTCTTAACAGCTGAAAAACACGTGCATTCGCGCCTGTTTTATGTTTATCTGTATGAATCTTGTTTGAAATAAATACTTTCTATTACTACCACTACTACTACTATTGCCACTACTACTATTACTACTACTACTAAAACTACTTTGGAGATGTTATTAAACTTTGAAACAACTGTGTGGTTAAAGTTGAATTAATCATTATAAGCTATAATGATTAAATAACTTATAACACAGGAGCTGGTGCTTTTGGATATCTGAAGGTCAAAGCCATTGGCATCGCTGCAAATGCTGATTGGAGTTTTTTCTTCCTCCATGCTGTTTACTTGCATTCTGTGAATCTTTGTTTGTGTCTTGTCCTCCATCAACAACATGTATTCTGTCTGTCTGACACGATCCTAGCCTTTGTCATTTTCGTCATTACTACTACTATTACTACTACTAATACAAATACTACTACTAAACAACGAAATTTTACTTAAGTACAAGTTCTTATACACTCATATACACACAGACACACAACACACATACACACACAAACACACAAAACACATAAACACACACTCAAACTGACTTTGATTTCCGACTATAACCAAGAATCCGTTCTTTATTACAGGTTTCCCATTTCGCAGTAGAGAATCCGCCTCCGAACAAGGTGCCGCAGCCAAACTTCGCCGACTTCAGTCACTTTCGAGAAGAGGTGAGATCCCGTCACCCACCTCACCCCCTTCACCCTCCTCACCCACCTCACCCACCTCACCCCCTTCACCCTCCTCACCCACCTCACCCACCTCACCCCCTTCACCCTCCTCACCCACCTCACCCACCTCACCCCCTTCACCCTCCTCACCCCACCTCACCCACCTCACCCCCTTCACCCACCTCACCCACCTCACCCCCTTCGCCCTCCACACCCACCTCACCCACCTCACCCCCTTCGCCCTCCACACCCACCTCACCCACCTCACCCCCTTCACCCCTCTCAGACTCAAACCTGTAATAAAGATTTCTGAGCAGGCACTTCAAAGCCCGCCCTCTCCGTGAGACTATAATCACGTGGGCTTTATTTACGGCCGTGTTTCTGCCCTTGAAACGACTGGAGCGACGGTTTGATATATTTGATTTGGGTGTGAGTCTCTCTCCTGTCACAGAAGTTAAATATTTATGAGGCTGTCAAACATTGAACTTGACAACGCCACAGTGGATCATTCACAGGCGAAAGAGGAAGATGAAAGCAGATCACCTGGATACATGCTGCCGCTCTGGCCCTGGGTGAACTTCCCTGTCGCAGCAGAGGAAGGTTAAAGGCGGGTCACGGTTCATTTATTATAGATGATGTCCACAGGTTCATGTTGCCGTGGAGGCAGTGAAGCGTCGATGCTAGCTCGTTTATAAACCTGGATCATATTGATAGAAAGGTACTGGCACATTAAAGTGTAACGAGTAAATGTGTACATTTCATTCTTGTTTGTATATTTATATTCTGACTTCCTAGATAGACAAGATCATGTGTGTGTGTGTGTCTCTGTGTGTATGTCTGTCTCTCTCTCTCTCTCACTCTCTCTGTGTTTGTGTGTGTGTGTCTGTTTCTCTCTCTCTGTCTGTGTGCCTGTCTGTGTGTGTGTGTGTGTGTGTGTATGTGTGTCTGTATGTCTGTTTCTCTCTCTCTGTGTCTATCTCTCTGTGTGTGTGTGTCTGTCTGTCTCTCTGTCTGTGTGTCTGTCTCTCTCTCTCTGTGTGTGTGTCTCTCCCTCTGTGTGCGTGTTATTGCTAGCTATTGTCATACAAGTTATGAAATGTAGTGAGTGAAGTCTGTAACAGTGTCAGGGCTAAGTGTTAGTGTGTGTGTGTGTCCTAATCCCTGGTCTACAGCAGTATGCATACATACACTTATATATCAGTATTTAGTTCATGAAGAGTCATCTTGTCTTCCTAATGGAATAAAGTTACCTAGACGTACAACTGTCTGCTAGAAGACCCAAGTAACTGTATGGTATTCCTCGCGGCTGCAGTGCGCCCGCCACACGCTTTAACCAAAGCTTCTGTTTCACTTTCTCTTTTCTCGTATTGGCTCTTGTAACAAGAGCCTCCAGCCTCTCCGTCTCCAAGCTGCTAATAGCAGACGCCGTATTTTAGCTTAAAGCAGAAACCGACTCTAGCCAGGCCTCCAGAGACTCCCCACAGTCTAAATTAGTGTTAAAAATAGCCTCCTGTCAAATAAAATGTGTCAATTGGGTTCAGGGTGTAATTTAATCATGGGCTTTGAGAAAAGGTTCTGTGGAAGTCTGGTCTACAGCGAAGAAAGAATCTTTGTTTCTGATCCTGATGAAGACGATTGGTTCATTCACTGTGCTGTTTGTCCCTGTATCAAACTGAACATAAACAATATTATATTTAATGACAATGATAATCAACATTTATACACCCTCACGTCAACACTATAGCCTCTATATATGCGTTGGATTTTAATCTATCATCCGTTGCAAGTGAAATATGAATAATGAAATTATTTATAAACAGCCAACTAACTATCTTATAAAGTCAGCAGAAGAGAAATGGTATTACTGAAGTACTCATTTTCACTGAAGATGTCCATCCTATGTGAACGCTCTTCAGCTGTCATCTGTCAGATAAACAAGAACTCAAGCTGAACATGAGCCAAGCAGCTTTCTGACTGTTGGAAACCTGCAGTCTGAAGGCTCCTCATTTATTTCATAAACCTGAACCATCCCGCTCTAACCACTTCCTTTCCCTCTGCAATATTTGATACTATATTTATCATGTGCACAGGTTATTCAAAGACGTGCACTTGCAACAAGCTGCAGGGAATGCTCCTGTCCACGCTGGGAACATAATGACACATCACGGCTGAGGGCTGTGTCTACACTACAGAGCGGCCGCAGTTGCTCTGGGGTCAGAACGCAGAATAGCGCACCTCACTATTTAAGAAGGACTGGTGTAGGTGTCAGGGGCGAGAGTAGCTGTTGGTAGAGCATTGGCCTTTAGGCCTGAAGGTCGTGGGTTCGAGCCCACCATAAGACCTACTTCATGACTCCCACTGATGACTGCTGTCGTTGTGTCCTTGGGCAAGACACTTAACCCCACTTTGCCTGAAGCTCCCGCTGAAAGATCTCAGCTCCTGTGGACTCATCACCTGCAGGAGGATCAGTGAGGGGCTGGTGCTCTGTGTACTGGGTGCAGCTCTGACTGCCACCCCCCCGACCCAGAAATGGATTAAGGGGAAGAAAATGGATGGATGTATTGGTGTAGGCTAATATCACTTTTAGACTATAACCCCCAAGCTAATGTTAGCTCAAGCTAAACATTTTGGTGGACTAGCCTAGCGTTAGATATTCATGTTGTAGGATGGCAATAATTACGTCGTCTGTCACTGATGTCCCTTTGATAGACCGTTCAGTATCTCATGTTGTTTCTGATCACGGCCGCAACCAAACTTTGTACTCATCATTTCCAGCCTGACATTTCAGCAGTGATACGGACGTACACACTGTCATTGAGCAGCGAGTGATTCGTTGGTGACGCGCACAAAAACAATACAAATTTTGGAGTCAAAATATATATTTTTTAAAGTACTGAATGCTGTTTCTTGTAGCCTAATGTCCTGATGTTTTATTAAAACACTGTTCATTCATTTTGATCAAATCAAGCATTTTCAAGCACACTGTTCAAAATTCAAGCACATCCCAAACCTTGAAAACACCTAATTGTAATTTCCCAACTTTCAAGGATTGGTTTTATTTAGAAAATCAATGAACGGATGATACACGGAGTGAGCATACACAGATTTTCCACATTAAAAACTGGTAGAGAACCGGTGACATGAGCAGATAATTAGAGAAGCAAACTGAGATCGAGAAACCTTTGAATGGATAAAAATAATAACGCAACCACCACCACCACCAACCATTCACACACATCAGACTCATTCTAACGTGGGGGAAGTGTCTTGCCTAAGGACACAACCACAGTTTTGCACTTTCCAGCCACAGCCGCTCCACTGTGGCACCTGGTGTTCACTGAGGTCTCCCATCACAGTACTAACCAGGCCCTGCCCTGCTTAGCGTCAACGGTCTGACAGGATCATGTGGCCACAACTGCATATGGTCTCTCTCTGGTCTCTCTCTGGACTCTCTCTGGTCTCTCTCCAGCCTCTCTCTGGCCTCTCCCTGGTCTCTCTCTGGTCTCTCTCTGGACTCTCTCTGGTCTCTCTCTGGTCTCTCTCTGGACTCTCTCTGGTCTCTCTCCAGCCTCTCGCTGGTCTCTCTCTAGCCTCTCTCGGGTCTCTCTCTTGCCTCTCTCTGCCCTCTCTCTGGTCTCTCTCTGGTCTCGCTCCAGTCTCTCTCTGGGCTCTCTCTAGCCTCTCTCGGGTTCTCTCTCTAGCCTCTCTCTGGTCTCTCTCTGGTCTCTCTCTGGGCTTTCTCTGGTCTCTCTCTGGCCTCTCTCTGGTCTCTCTCTGGTCTCTCTCTGGCCTCTCTCTGGTCTCTCTCCAGTCTCTCTCTGGGCTCTCTCTAGCCTCTCTCTGGTCTCTCTCTGGCCTCTCTCTGGTCTCTCTCCAGTCTCTCTCTGGGCTCTCTCTAGCCTCTCTCTGGTCTCTCTCTGGCCTCTCTCTGGTCTCTCTCCAGTCTCTCTCTGGGCTCTCTCTAGCCTCTCTCGGGTCTCTCTCTGGTCTCTCTCTGCCCTCTCTCTGGCCTCTCTCTGGCCTCTCTCTGGTCTCTCTCTTGCCTCTCTCTGCCCTCTCTCTGGCCTCGCTCTGGTCTCTCTCCAGTCTCTCTCTGGTCTCTCTCTGGTCTCTCTCCAGCCTCTCTCTGGTCTCTCTCTGGTCTCTCTCTAGCCTCTCTCTGGCCTCTCTCTGGTCTCTCTCTGGTCTCTCTCTGCTCTCAGTCCTACAATAACTCTGTCACCACATTCACTTCTGACTCTGAACATTTGAATCGCAGTGAACGACCATGACCCAGGAGCGCTCTCTAACTCTCTGCATATTTCTTTTTTCATTTAACTTACTTCCTCATTTGTCGACAGCTTTCTCTCACTGTCTCCTCCTTGCCTCAGTCTGACCACACAGACGAGACATTCTTGTGGTTCATAAAGCAGCAGCAGCAGAGAGGGCAGTGGTGGAATATGGAACTCTTTCCTTCTCTCTGCTCGTCACGTTCACACAGACGATTCTCCGAAGTCATTTAGAGCTTTGTCCTGGTGAAGTCGTTAGGAATAGACTCAGGAATCTGAAATATCACCGCGGCAGAGAGAGACGGATCTGAAGGAGAGGCAGGAGTTTTTTCCTGTTTGTCTTTTTAAACAGTGAAAGAAAATATGGAGAGTTTAATTAATGCATTGGTTTTTTTTTGGTTTTTTTTTTTATGTGGTAGAAATGTCAAAGTCAGTGAGTGATTCTCCTGAAGTGAAAGCAATGGTTTATATTCTGGACCATTGGCTTGTTTAGATTTACAAGTTTGAGTCAGATATGTACATCCAGAACTGAGGCTGTAGATCCAGGACTGAGGCTGTAGATCCAGGACTGAGGCTGTAGATCCAGGACTGAGGCTGTAGATCCAGGACTGAGGCTGTAGATCCAAGACTGAGGCTGTAGATCCAGGACTGAGGCTGTAGATCCAGGACTGAGGCTGTAGATCCAGGACTGAGGCTGTAGATCCAGAACTGAGGCTGTAGATCCAGGACTGAGGCTGTAGATCCAAGACTGAGGCTGTAGATCCAGGACTCAGTACTCACAGGTTCATAAATTCTATTAAATTCCCTCCTGCAGATGTCATGTTTGTTTGTCTCTTCTGTATTTCTGTATTTTTTATTCCAACCCCATGGGATTACAGATGGAAAATAGCCTTTGGCTGAAGTCTGGCATGTTTACATGTTGTTTATTTATCTTTTCATTAGCACCGATCTATTTATAATAAATAAATACATTGTTACAGTATTTTGGTTGGGGTCAAATCAAACCAAATGCTTTTCAAAGATGTATATTCACACCTGCATGTGTCTGTCAGTGAAATGGTCTGATCCTGCAGTGACAATATATTCATACAAACAGGCAATAAATGCATTTCTAATGCAACCTTTGACTTCAGTCGTTTCAATTATATTCTTTATGGGCTTTTCTTTGTTTTATCATGTGTCTCATTTGTGTATCATGTGTATCATTTCCTCTGCTTCAGGAGGAGAGCAGCCTGAAGATCCCAGGATCCAGGTTCAGGATGAGCTCTGTGGACAATTCTGCTCAGGTTAGACTGCTCTAGGTGTTTACACAGAGGAACACAGAGTATCACTGAGTCACACAGAGCTGGATAATGTCTGTCTCTAGGATCTGCTCCTCGGGGCTCCACAGAAACCAGCCCGGAGGAAGTTCCATCCAGAAATCCCAAATATGGACGTCCCCCCTCTGGCCATATCTCTGGCTCCTCCCACCAAGGCTCCACAGAAGTTGGTTTCACTTTTATTCACAAATATATGAATGTTATGAATGAAGTGTTAATGTGATTGTTTTTGTTTTAAACAATGTCCTTTCCTGGAAATTTTGGGAAGTTTAAAGGTCCCACATTTCGCACTTGATCATGTTTCACAGTCCATCCTAATCATATTTGTCATAATAATTTAGAGAATCTCTCTGGTCTCTCTCTCTGTTTTGTTTTTTCTCTCTGGTCTCTTGCTCTCTGATCTCTTTCTGGTCTCTCTGGTTCCTCTCTCTAGTCTCTCTTTGGTCTCTCTCTCTCTCATCTCTCTTTGTCTCTCTCTCTATGGTCTCTGTCTGGTCTCTCTCTCCAATCATATGTATGTTTGATAATAATTTGGATGATGCATTCTACAACACTCAAACCTTGGAGATAAAAAGCTATAGCAACCAAGTGGAGGTTGCTATAGCAGGTCCCCTTCACCAGGTGAAGGGGACCTGTCCCTCGTTCTCTCTCTGGTCTCTCCCTGGTCTCTCTCTGATCTGTCTTTCTGGTATCTCTCCCTGGTCTCTCCCTATATCGCTGGTCTCTCTCTCTGGTCGCCCCCTGTCATCTCTCTCTTGTCTCTCTCTGCAACAACTGAAGGATTGTATCTTTACTCTTTTTTAATGTTCTGTGATTATTTATGATGATAATTCCTTGTGTATTTGTTTCTATCTTTGAGATAGTACTTTGAGTTTCCTTGTGTATGAACTTTGCTATGCAAATAAACTTGTCTTGAACTCTTCCAATATGACACGCTGTCCCTTTTGCATGAGCCTGTACAGGACATGGACAGGACAATTATAATTTAACCCTGATGCCTGTTCTTGCTGTGTGTTCAGGCTGTTGTCGAAGCAGAAGAGAGAGATCCAGATGGCCATCCGCAAGAACAAGGAAACCAATGCTGTTCTCAGGCGTCTGAACAGCGAACTGCAGCAACAACTCAAGGTCTGTGGTTAAACCATAGACTGTAAATATTAACGGATGTAGAGCCAACATTTAGACCACTGATTTAGGCCCTGTTTAGACGGAGAAGCGGCAAAGCAATTTGCAAAAACAACCAGGCTCCTTATTCGAAGTGCCACAACAACAGTTTGGCGGGTACACTTTAGCTAAGTGTGCTTCAAGTGCTCATGGAGGAATTCTACTCCTTCGTTTGTCAAACAAAACCACGCAAAGCTCTAGTTTCAGTCTCCATTTTTGCAGCTGCTGTTAAATGCAGAATGATGTTGGTGCATTCTTTCACATGTTTGCGGTGGCCTGAGGAGGATGTTGTTGAGGAAGTGATTATACTGGAAGATCCACTGCCCCCTTCTGGCCGGGCGCCATAACTACATCGTTTTCCGCCGTCGTGTAAACGTTGTGCACTTCGAATAAGAAACTTGGTCGTTTTTGCTCATTGCTTCGCTGCGTCTCCGCAGCATCTCCGTCTAAACGGGGCCTTATACTAACAATTGAACTGCCCTACAGGGCTCAATAAAGTGCCCCTTTACCTTTACCTTTACATGGAGGGAGTCTGAGCACAGACGGGGGGAGGGGGAGGGGATGGTTTCTCACTTTTTTCACTGGGTTTCTGAGTCTCAGAATCAGAATCATTGTTATTGCCACGTAAGTAACTGGAAGTCACAGAGCCATGGCAACCGTACGAGGCGCCATCTTGATCAGATCTCTGGCATCGACAGTGGTTCGTCCCACTCCCTTTGGACCAATGGTACAAACAGATACAGTTTTTTCAGCTTTGACTTGGAGCTGTAGAGTTTCCCAAACAGAGCTGTTGGACTGTGTTACTATTACAAGGCCATGATGACCGTGACGTGTGATGTCACACACCTCTATATCCAGGGCAACTTGTAAACAAAAGGTCCATCTGCTTTCTCTCCTTCATAACAGCTCTTCAGGAGGTGTTGACATTAGCTTAGCCTGACAACGCTAAACAAAACACTCGTTAGCATAAACACTCATTAGCATAACACGAGTCAAGCATAAACTGGGCACAAAGTCAGGCTGACCTTTGACCCCAGGAGCCAGAGGTGTGTTTTGTGTGACATCAGTCTAACATAGCTCCGTGATTCCCCTTTAGAATTCTATCATCGAGGACGGTTCTCTGCAGCGAGTCTTTCTCAACACTTCAAACTTCTCAGTTCTGTGTCAGAACCTGGATCTATTGTCTCTCGTACGAGTGAGAAGACAAATGCTCTGCTCCTCCTGCCCTCTCTGCTCCTCCTGCTCTTCTCTGCTCCTCCTGTCTTCTCTGCTCCTCCTGCTCTTCTCTGTTCCTCCTGCTCTCTCTGCTCCTCCTGCCCTCTCTGCTCCTCCTGCCCTCTCTGCTCCTCCTGCCCTCTCTGCTCCTCCTGCCCTCTCTGCTCCTCCTGCCCTCTCTGCTCCTCCTGCCCTCTCTGCTCTTCTCTGCTCCTCCTGCTCTTCTCTGTTCCTCCTGCTCTCTCTGCTCCTCCTGCCCTCTCTGCTCCTCCTGCCCTCTCTGCTCCTCCTGCCCTCTCTGCTCCTCCTGCCCTCTCTGCTCTTCTCTGCTCCTCCTGCTCTTCTCTGTTCTTCTTTGCACCTCCTGCTCCTCTTTGCTCCTTGTTCTCCTCCTGCCCTCTCCCTGTGGACACACACAGGACACATGCAGAGCAGGGCTGTGGTCTGGGGGTTCTGGGTTTAGGGTTGTGGGGTTGTGGGTGTGGATCTCTGACACATGGAGCAGAGCACATGCTGCGCCTGTCATTCTGCCGCTAATGACACAACAGGAAGAGTAACAGCTCAACGAAGACTAGTCTCCAGCAGAGACGGGGCTGAAGTGAAACTTGATTTTCATATCACTTCAATTCAGTGTATTTTGTATCGCCCTACCTCTAAGCCTCAACAGGATTCTTCTGTAAAAGTCAAATGTCAAATATTACTTTCACCAGTTTCATCTCTGAGTAAAAGTGAGTAACTTAATTACTTAAATGACTTTTAATGAACCTGGGAAAATACATTTTTGGAGACATTTCTCAGAATTCCGTTACTTTGAAACAGAAGAGTGAAACCACTGGTGAGTTCTATAGCTTCATGATCGTGAGTCCGAGTTTATAGGACGTTTTCATCTGAGACTCTTGGTTTAATGCTGAGACTCTTGGTTTAATGCTGAGATTCTGTATGAAGCATGTGTGGAATGTGCAGAGAAACTCTCCCCGTCTGAATATAGTCCCAGAGCTGAAATACCAAACAGCCACCGCATTCACAACTGTCCCCTTTAAATAGAGCCATGGGATCCAGCCTCAGCACACTGCAAAATACATCTAAAAGGCCAGTCCCTGTGCTCCCCAGAGTCCCAGCAGAAGGCCAGTCCCTGTGCTCCCCAGAGTCCCAGCAGAAGGCCAGTCCCTGTGCTCCTCAGAGTCCCAGCAGGAGGCCAGTCCCTGTGCTCCCCAGAGTCCCAGCAGGAGGCCAGTCCCTGTGCTCCTCAAGCTCCTCAAGAGCACAGGGGGAAAAAAAAGACTTTTCAGACTTTATACTATAATCAATATACAGTATTTTTTTATCTTCCATCTCTGTCAGTTTTTTGGAGATGGAAGAGAAGGAATGCATGCGTTTTGACTTCAGAAATTGGGGGTGGAATTTTGTCTTTTATAATCCTGAGTCTTAAATCCGTGAAAGTGGAACATTTCTGCGGCGCGGTCTCAGCGTCAGGACTTTTATTGAGTGTGAAAAGATTGTAATATACTTTCAAAGAATTCTGCCGTTGAGAGACTGAGCCACAACAGACCATGGATCATTTCATGCAGTTTCAAGTTCGTCCAAAGAATGTGACGTAATAAAATTATAATAAAGGTGAGTGAGTTTCTGTGGAAAAACCATGAGGTGAAAAAGCAAATATAATTGTAAACGTTTTAGGTCAATCCATAAGCGTCATCCTGAGTTCTGAACCTCATCGAGACACAAGCCTTTTATGGAAATCTGTGTTTATACTACATATATTTGGGCTTGTTCACTCTAAAGGATACAAACGTGTGACAGATGGCCAACATTTTAATGATACATTAATGTTTTTCCTTTATCCAAATACCTCCTCAGTCCATTAGAAGTTGCTAGAACTGTTTTATCCATTAGTCAAGTTTCCCAAAGTGGCTCTTATTTGTTAGTGTCACGGATGTGATGCTTTGATGGAATGAGCTGCAGAAGTTTGTTACATATTATCAGATGTCTATATTTGATAGAGTATATATTTATTTATTCTTCGGCCATCAGCCAAAAATAAGAAAACATTTGACATTCACAGATTGTCAATTATTTACAGACCAAAAGGGTTAGGCTGAAGTTTAACACTTAAGTAGAAACTAAGTGATTACTTTCATATCGTAAACCCATTGAATGTAAGTAAACCAAGTAAACCAGACCTTTTTTTTGTTTTTTCTCAAGTTACATTTAATTTAAAATTGACTGAAGTCACTTTTTTTTTTTAATGATTCATTTTTAAACTAAGAGATTTACTTATGTTTTGTTAATGTTAATGTTGTGGGAGTTCATCTGCTTTGTCTCTGATGACCTTTTATTTTCTGTCACTGGAGTCAAAGCAGAAAATCAGAGGCTGATCTGGTCTGTTAGAAAATTGCCAAACATTTATTTGTCAATTTTCCCTTTTCATTTTATCCACAATATATCTCTGATATGTCTGTGTTTGAAATATTTTTTTTTATAATCTATGATAGTAATTTCAGTTTTTGAGTTATAACCTTTTAAAGTCCAGATTCTATTATTGACACATTACTGTGAACACACCCATTTATACTACACATATTTATACTACATATACTAGATATATTTATACTACACATATTTATACTACACATATTTATACAGCATATATTGATACCACACATATTTATACTACATATAAACCCAAGTTAATTATTGAACAGAAGCCACAGCCCTGATGTGATTCAACAGAATGTAACCTGTAAAGTGAAAGAGCTTCGTATGCAGCCGCTGCTCCTTATGCAAATAGTCCAATGACATTGCAAGGGTTGGATAAGCCATGTGCGCCGCAACTCATGCTAATTATTTGTGTTACTGACTTTGCTGCGTTGACTCAACCTCACAAACAGCAGCCTCGTGGCACCATCGGCCTCGTGTCGGCGTCACTGAGAGACGTGCGTTGTGTGTTTGTAGGTCGCACACCAGGAGAGGGTCACGCTGGAGTCCCACCTGGAGCTGGTGCGTCCGGCCATCGTCACATGACTCAGGACCGAGGTCACATGGTCTACAGCCCTGGGTCTCAGTTTGGACCACAGACGTCCTGTTTCCACCAGCCCTGCCTGGCCCTACTCTACTCTACTCTACTCTACTCTGCCAGCAGCACTCTGGCCAATCGCTGTCAATTAGAACACTGCAGTACTAGAGTAGAGTAGAAACAGAGCTACAGACTCTCCCAGAGGCGTTCCACAAGTACAACTTCTGCTGCTACAAGCTACAAGACAATGAATTGAATATGATTGTATAATATTGTTACTTCTGTTCCACTCTTTGGCTAGTGTCATATTTTGTTCCTGAAATCAAACTCCTTTATGCATCTCACTGTTATTTACTGAAACTATTGGATTGTTTACATATGGAATGCACACGGATCAGGCCGAACATCGTCTACCTCACCAACAGATTCTGGAAGCCCAAAGGGTGACTCACAGGGCTTGTGTCTGATTCATTCATAACATTTTCAGAATCAGAATTAATTTTATTGCCATTGTAAGTAATGTCTATTTATATAGCACCTTTCACGGAGTCACATACAGGAAGGGCGTGCCAGAACTATTATACAGGTACAAGGAAACCGGAGCACATGGAGGAAACCCACACAGACATAGGGAGAACATGCAAACTCCACACATAGAGGCCTGGAGGTGGAATTGAACCCAGGACCTTCTTTCTGTGAAGCATAAGTGCTAACCACTGTGCTGCAAATGATTCAAACAGGTTCTAAAAAAGTGTAAAAATAGATATAAAGGCACGTGTAAAGAAACTTCATAGAATTTCTTATGATCCTGTTCCTGTTGAGACGAAGGAAACAAAAAGTTAGGCTCCAGCTTTTTAGAAACCAACTTTTTAAAATCTACTTTGTTCTAGCTTCATTTCAATCTACTCTTGTAAATATTGTGATTTTTAATATTTACAATCTGTTTGACATGTAGCCCTACAGTCTCACCAACACGTTTCTACCAGGACTGAGGCTGTAGATCCAGGACTGAGGCTGTAGATCCAGGACTGAGGCTGTAGATCCAGGACTGAGGCTGTAGATCCAGGACTGAGGCTGTAGATCCAGGACTGAGGCTGTAGATCCAGGACTGAGGCTGTAGATCCATAACTGAGGCTGTAGACCCAGGACTGCGGCTTCCACAGCACATGCCTGAGGAGGAAACTCAGACCTTGAACAATATACCAAATGTCCTTTTTTTTTAAACTTTTGTTCCAAGACAATTCTATTTTTTCCATAACGCACCTCTTTTGTTTAAAACGTCACTTTTGTTCCGTTCATATGCATTGTGTGTTTCTGATTTGATTAAAATGCTGTTATGTAATCATTTTACTTTAAAGGCACACCGTGTAACTCTTGGCCACTAGGGGCGCTAGACCTGCAACTTTCACGTTTAGCGCCCCTAGTGGCCACAAGCAACTCAGCACTGTCGCAAAAGTCAACAAACAGTCAGCCGGTGTCTTTTGAGTGTGTATTCAGACAGCATGCACTGGTGTGTGTGTTCAAACTGTAGAGACATGCCTACAGATATTGAGAGACTCTGCTGTGGTCAGCCTCCAGACCGCTGCATTAGTAATCTACCACACATGGACTTCTATATCCTGGATGAGGGAGTTCTGCGTCTAGCTCGTGCTGCGTGGAATGACATCTTTGCAGTCGATGACATCCAGGAACCAGGTGAAGAGCAGCGCTCATACAGACATGCAGCTTACAGCACGATCCCTTTCGCGTTTCCTCTTTTTAGCCTCCTCCGAAGGTTTAAAATTTTTCCTTGCCTCAGCCATGACCAGGAGTCGAGCAGGTGAAAAATGAGTAGCAAAAGCCTTAGCTCCATGAGTATATCAGCGCCTGTAGCCGTAAAGCAAGTCTTTCTTCCAAGTCACGTGACCTGGTGGCAGACGGTCCGTCTGCTCGAAACTTACATGGGCGGTATTTCAAGAGGGCAGCCCCGCTCGGAGCATTGCAAGTGTCAAGCGCTGTATATTGGCCCAAGTATTCATATAAAATAACTCATATGTGTCAACTCTTTAGGTCACAAAGTCCGCGGTGTGCCTTTAAATCTGTGGTACCTAACTTTTTTGTTTAAAAAATGATACACGTTTGTCCCAACAGAAGGTTTTGTAAAAATCATGTGGAAAACCTTAACCCTAACTTATCGTTATAAAACATATATTCAGCATAGGTGTATGAAAGATCCCTGTGAGTCACTTTTTGACCCTTTGGGCTAATAGTTGATTGGCTGATGGTGTTCCACTCTCTTTCACTGATCTAAAACTGGGACAAAGGCCGTTAATACTTTAATAAAAACTGGTGATAAAACCAAACTGTTTTGAGTGCAAGGAACTAGGTCGGATTTTCCATGTTTTGGTGTTTGAAAAGTTAGGTCCCCCAGCTTTAAAGTGTGTGATTTTACTTCCTGGTTTGATGCTGCATGATTGAATATAAGGACTATGCAGATACAAAGTTTTGTCCTGTGCACAACAAACAATAAAGTTATTTTGATCAGCTGTGATTGAGTGACGTCTGCTTTAGTTAATGACTGTTTGATATTGAATTTGTTCTGATTGGACCTGGTGTTCGAGGCCAAAGGTCAAACCGTCTGGAGCCTCTCACTCATTATGTACATAAATACCATATACTTATATACTACATACTATATACTATACACATATATACCATATACATACATACTTTACTATAAACATATATACATACATACTTTATACTTTACAAATATATACCATATACATACATACTTTATACTATACACATATATACCATATACATACATACTTTACACTATACACATATATACCATATACATACATACTTTACACTATACACATATATACCATATACATACATACTTTACACTATACACATACAGTGCCTTGCGAAAGTATTCGGCCCCCTTGAACCTTTCAACATTTCGCCATATTTCAGGCTTCAAACATAAAGATATAAAATTTTAATTTTTTGTCATGAAACAACAAATGGGACACAATCGTGAAGTGGAACAAAATTTATTGGATAATTTAAACTTTTTTAATAAATAAAAAACTGAAAAGTGGGGCGTGCAATATTATTCGGCCCCTTTACTTTCAGTGCAGCAAACTCACTCCAGAAGTTCAGTGAGGATCTCTGAATGATCCAATGTTGTCCTAAATGACTGATGATGATAAATAGAATGCACCTGTGTGATATCAAGTCTCCGTATAAATGCACCTGCTCTTTGATAGTCTCAGGGTTCTGTTTAAAGCGCAGAGAGAACCATGAAGACAAAGGAACACACCAGGCAGGTCCGAGATACTGTTTAGGAGAAGTTTAAAGCCGGATTTGGATACAAAAAGATTTCCCAAGCTTTAAACATCTTAAGGAGCACTGTGCAAGCAATTATATTGAAATGGCAGGAGTATCAGACCACTGCAAATCTACCAAGACCCGGCTGTCCCTCCAAACTTTCATCTCAAACAAGGAGAAGACTGATCAGAGATGCAACCAAGAGGCCCATGATCACTCTGGATGAACTGCAGATAACTACAGCTGAGGTGGGGATGGTGTGTTCAGGGTGATGAGCTGTGTTGCTTTTTCACCAAACATATCGTTTTGCATTGTGGCCAAAAAGTTTGATTTTGGTTTCATCTGACCAGAGCACCTTCTTCCACATGTTTGGTGTGTCTCCCAGGTGGCTTGTGGCAAACTTTAAGAGACTTTTATTGGATATCTTTGAGAAATGGCCACTCTTCCATAAAGGCCAGATTTGTGCAGTGCACGACTGATTGTTGTCCTATGGACAGACTCTCCCACCTCAGCTGTAGTTATCTGCAGTTCATCCAGAGCGATCATGGGCCTCTTGGCTGCATCTCTGATCAGTCTTCTCCTTGTTTGAGATGAAAGTTTGGAGGGACGGCCGGGTCTTGGTAGATTTGCAGTGGTCTGATACTCCTTCCATTTCAATATAATTGCTTGCACAGTGCTCCTTGAGACGTTTAAAGCTTGGGAAATCTTCAGTCATTTAGGACAACATTGGATCATTCAAAGATCCTCACTGAACTTCTGGAGTGAGTTTGCTGCACTGAAAGTAAAGGGGCCCAATAATATTGCACGCCCCACTTTTCAGTTTTTTATTTTTTTAAAAAGTTTAAATTATCCAATACATTTCGTTCCACTTCACGATTGTGTCCCACTTGTTGTTGATTCATGACAAAAAATTTAAATTTTATATCTTTGTTTGAAGACTGAAATGTGGCGAAATGTTGAAAGGTTCAAGGGGGCCGAATACTTTCACAAGGCACTGTATATACCATATACATACATACTTTGTACTATGCACATATATACCATATACATACATACTTTATACTGTACACATATATACCATATACATACATACTTTATACTACGCACATATATACCATATACATACAGTACATACTTTAGACTATACACATATATACCATATACATACATACTTTACACTATACACATATATACCATATACATACATACTTTACACTATACACATATCTCACTCAGCATGTCACTCTATACCTCCTAAACTATGTCCCCCGCTCCCTTAAACCAGCTGCTCCACAATTTCAATTCAATGTAATTGTGTGGTCTTAAATCACAACAGCCGTCGTCTCAGAGGACTTTACAACGTTGTCGATTCCTCAACAACAGATCAGAGAATCAAACAGTTCAAACACAGGAAATGCAGTAATAACAAACACATAGAGTGAAGTAAAGTGAGATAACCTTTGGAAGGAACATGTTGAGAGAAGGACAGAAAAGCAGCAGGTCTCAAAGGCAGAGCATTCATCTGGTAGATTAGCTTTACACGAGGAGCAGACCTTCTTTGTTCCTTGTGTAACCTAAACATCAAATAAAAAAGCTAAAAATGGTCCAAAGATATGAGATGGCCAATCTTTTGCTTAATTATGAGCCAAAAATAAATCACATTTTTGGGAAATACAGTACTTTTTGTTGGGGTCAGAACACAAATGTATTCTATATTATCATGATGTGGATTTTTTGATTATTTTTACCTGGTTTTATTTTGCTAATTACAGTATTTGTTCTCTTGTAGTTTGATTTAGTTTATTATTGATTTATTAAAACAGGGACAATTCCCACTCATCAACATTTCTGTATACTTTTAGCTCAGAGCAATAACATTTAAAAACACAGAAGTTGGAGCCAAATCTGTGTCTGCTTCGTCCAATCTTTTTTACGAATGGTTTGATCTGTTTCTTTTGTGTCTTGTTTTATTGTTCATTGTTTTAAGTTGTATAGGTTTGAAATACACATTCTCACTTTTACTACATTCATAAATTGAAATATAAAAGTTTTTACAGATTTATTTGAAATTATTTGGAACGAGCTGCAGGTTTATTTTACTGCTTCATAAACGTTATCATCAAAGAACATTCGTCACGTTTGATCAAAGGATGTGACGTTTACCTCCTGATAATTCTTTATCTTGGATTGTAAAACGTGAAAACGAAACAAAAGATCAATCATCTGCTGTTTAAATTAATCATCTCTCGTTACGCCCTGAAGTCCACTGTGAAAAATCTCTTATTTTAAATCAGATAAAATACAAAAATTCAAAAAATATCACAAAGATCAACCTAACCGAACAGATTAAAAATGTGTCTCTGTGTCTGTGTCTCTATGTCAGTGTGTCTGTGTCTGTGTGTCTCTCTGTGTCTGTCTCGTTGTGTCTGTGTCTCTCTGTGTCTGTGTCTCTCTGTCTGTGTGTCTCTCTGTGTCTGTGTCTCTCTGTGTCTGTGTCTCTCTGTCTGTGTGTCTCTCTGTGTCTGTGTCTCTCTGTCTGTGTGTCTCTCTGTGTCTGTGTCTCTCTGTCTGTGTGTCTCTCTGTGTCTGTGTCTCTCTGTGTCTGTGTCTCTCTGTGTCTGTGTCTCTGTGTCTGTCTCTCTGTGTCTGTGTGTCTCTCTGTGTCTGTGTCTCTCTGTGTCTGTGTGTCTCTGTGTCTCTGTGTCTGTGTGTCTCTGTGTCTCTGTGTCTGTGTTTCTCTGTGTCTGTGTCTCTGTGTCTGTCTCTCTGTGTCTGTGTGTCTCTCTGTGTCTGTCTCGTTGTGTCTGTGTCTCTCTGTCTGTGTGTCTCTCTGTGTCTGTGTCTCTCTGTGTCTGTGTCTCTGTGTCTGTCTCTCTGTGTCTGTGTCTCTCTGTCTGTGTGTCTCTCTGTGTCTGTGTTTCTCTGTGTCTGTGTCTCTGTGTCTGTCTCTCTGTGTCTGTGTGTCTCTCTGTGTCTGTCTTGTTGTGTCTGTGTCTCTCTGTGTCTGTGACTCTCTGTCTGTGTGTCTCTCTGTGTCTGTCTTGTTGTGTCTGTGTCTCTCTGTGTTTGTGTCTCTGTGTCTGTCACGCTGTGTCTGTGTCTCTCTGTGTCTGTCTCTCTATGTCTGGGTCTGTGTGTGTCTGTGTCTCTGTGTCTCTATGTGTCTGTGTGTGTGTCTCTCTGTGTGTCTGTGTATCTGTGTCTCTGTGTGTCTCTGTATTTGTGTGTCTGTGTCTCTCTATGTCTCTGTGTCTGTGTCTTTCTGTGTCTCTTAGTCTCTCTGTGTCTGTGTCTCTATGTGTCTGTGTGTCTGTGTCTCTCTGTGTCTGTGTCTCTATGTGTCTGTGTGTCTCTCTGTGTCTGTGTCTCTCTGTGTCTGTGTATCTCTGTGTCTCTCTGTGTCTGTGTATCTCTGTGTCTCTCTGTGTCTGTGTCTCTCTGTGCCTGTGTGTCTTTCTGTGTCTGTGTATCTCTGTGTGTCTCTCTGTGTCTGTGTCTCTCTGTGTCTGTGTGTCTTTCTGTGTCTGTGTATCTCTGTGTATGTGTCTCTCTGTGTCTCTGTGTCTGTGTCTCTCTGTGTCTATGTGTCTGTGTGTGTGTCTGTGTATCTCTGTGTCTGTGTCTTTGCGTCTCTATGAAAAGACTTGAAATAAATGAGACGCAGAAACTAAAGATACTAGACAACATCAGGGTGTGATCTAGAAGTGTTTATTGTTGCCTCTGTTGCATGTTGTGCGTGTGTGTGTGGGTCTGTGTGTGTGTGTGTATGGTGAAGATCCAGTCTCAGTCTCTATAAATACCACTTAGATGTGTTTGCGTTGCTTTTGGAAGGCGGCAGCTGCAGACGGTGACAGAGACGTGTAATATTATAATAAAACAGAAGAGGCCAGTTGGACTCTAAGACCCCGTTTAGACTGTGTAGTTGTGTATTTGTGTATTGCCCTAAATCACAACAGAAGTTATCTCGAAGGACCTTACAAAGCTGTCAATTCACCAACACAGATTAGAGAAACAGGAAAATGCAAACACAGGAAATTCAATCACAAACATGTTCAGAGCCATTGACATTTAAATAATGACCTGCAACTGTAATCCTCTGTCATGAAGTCAATAACAACATAAGTTAAAGTGTTATGTTCCAGATTTTAGCTGCATTCAATTAACTGCTGAACAATCCTTTCCCATGTTTAGTCCTGACCCTGGGACCAGCCAGAGGCCAGTCCCTGTGCTCCTCAAAGTTCCAGCAGGAAGCCAGTCCCTGTGCTCCTCAGAGTCCCATATGGCACTAACATATGGCACTAACACTCTCAAAACTAGTTGAGAGAGACCAGTGGAGACAAAAGGAGGAGAAGAATTGCCAGGCTTGCTTTAGACTCTATATTTTAGATGGTAAAAAACTGCAGATGTTATTGATGCGAACTGGTTTTAAGGAATTAAAGTCTGAGTCCCGCCTACGAGCTGCCTCAGTACTGGATCTACAGCCTCTCTTTCACTCAATGTGGGTCTCCCCGAGGTTTATCACTTTTTAAATTATTACTCCAAGATTTCTGACCTGATGTGAAGGTTTTAGGGAGAGACAGGATAAATGACACTTCCGTATTCTCTGCTTCAGTCTGTGGTTCAAACCCTGATCACAAACATGACCCAGAGCAGAGGTCGCCGCCGCTCGATTCTCTCAGCACAGATTAGAGGCTTTTATCAGAGTAAGTGCCCTATTGTTGTGGACCATTACTCCCTCATGACGCCATGCGCTGCCTTTGTCCCTGTGTGGCGGTCCCTGTGTGCCAGCGCTGCACTTCTGCTGTGTGCTCAGGAAGAGTCTGTCACCTCCACCAGGGTTTACCTAAACACAGCATCAGCAAATGTCAAAGAGCTGGACTTAGGAACGACCGATCCCGGATGTGTGTGACGGACGCTTAAAGCTGCGGTACCTGACTTTCAAACTCCAGCATCAGAGAGGAACCACTCAGAAACCTAGAGGGAAAACTATAATAATAACCGTTAATACTAATACCTCCAATATATACAAAATGGCTGAGGTGAAGAAGGAACTTTGTCTCAGTAACAACAAAGAATTATATTGTCAGGTGTCTGGAATGTGCAGATAACACGATATTGTTGTGTGTGTCATAACAAGTGTTGAACTATCGCAAACAAACTGATCCGTTCATACAGCTTTAGTGAGAGATTCATGCTACACACCTGGAGGATCCCCTTACCACACGCACATCCATGGGAACACACGCACACACAAACACAGACACACACGCACATACGTGGGAACACACAGATCCAGGTATGTGTATCTGTACGTGTCCCAACAATAGCACTGCAAACATAGATACTATACTAACAAGTCTATTCTCCGACAGTAGAAATACAGTAGATTCCAAAGCTGTGGTCCCCTTCCCTCTCCTGGAGCTAATATTGTTCCTGCAGCTGAAATACCTCTTGTATAAGTAAATATAATAATTACTAGTGAATGAACATATTAAGAATGACTAAATGAATGAGTAAAATAATAGGACCTATCCCTGCACTTAAAGCAGGTGGGGTGAGCAAACCCAAAATAAATCCTGTATTTTTCACTTTTCTGTCTGGAAAAGCTGATCTTTAAATGTGCCATCGATATAAATAAACTTGCATTAACCCTGGTCGGTCATCTGCCGCTCTCTCCATCGCACCAGCAGCATCACCGGAGACTGGAGCTGACGTCAGCGCAAGACCCCAGATCCAGATCCCGTCTCCTCGCTCCGGATCCACGCCACGTTTTACTCTCTCCCCCTTTTTTAAAATCCACCTCTACTTTCCCTGAGCAGTGGGAGAGACAACAGCAGAGAGCGGAGAGACTCAGTCCTGTCCCGGAGGCTCGCGCGGAGATGGGGCAAACCCGTGGCTGATCGCACCGGACCGTACCGGACCGTGGAGCGCGCTTCGAGGGGAGAGACACCGACTTTGGGGACACTTCCAGCGGATTTACAACATGCCATTTGCCAAACGGCTCGTGGAACCACAGTTAGTTTGCAGGCACTACATCCCGAACGATGAGCACTTACTATACGAAGACCTGGTCACCATCAGTAATGTGGCTCTGTCTCGGACGCTGCGTCAGCTGTCGGACCTGGCCAAACACGCGTGCTCCATATTTCAGGAGCTGGAGAGTGACCTCACGGGCACGAGCACGCGCGTGAGGAGGCTCCACGGCAGAATCAGCCGCCTCCAGCAGACATGTGGCGAGCTGGACTCCAAACAGGAGGCAGTGCGTAAGTACCACTCTGTCCGGACTCGCCTGCTTCAAACACTGGGACTCCCACGACTCTCAAACTACAGGAGCCATCACTCTGAGGGTCCCATTCAACTAAATCACGTTCTAAAAAAAAAAGTTTATTTTTCACACAGAAAAGGAATTTCTATGGTTTATATTGTTACTTACTTTCAATAAGTGCTGAAACTCTGTATCCCTATGGCAACCAGAGCCAGAACTAGTCCAGGACCAGCACCTTAGAGTAAAGAGGCTTTAACTGACAGAAAATATTTGTGCCAAACTACCGAAAGTTTGAATGTTACATTGAAATTAATGGAGCCGTCAAAACGACTGCTGTGGGGTTGAACCACTGACATTTCAAAAGTATGATAACTTCATAAAAGTATTGACACATAAATCTACATTAAACATTCACACATTTATGAAGACACAAAGGTACAAACACTGGGTAAATCCTCTGCCAAGACAAAAAAAAAACCGTCAAATTGACTGCTGTGGGAGTCCTCGTGTTAAAGCCACGCAGAGGCCATGTGTTACTACTGCGGCTTTGGGTTCACGTTGTTCTCTGCATTCACATCATTCCAAGGATTGTCTCTTTGCTATTTGTCAACACACACTGGGCCCGCATCGCTGCTTGCGGGTGTTCTTTGAGTCCACGCTATGTTGTTACTGTTTTCTAACGCTGCTATAATCCTCTTATATATTCATGGAGCAACAACACATGCTGTAGACCCCGGTGACAGGCAGCGGACCGCCCTTTGTGAGTCCTGTGGCACGAGCGCGACCTCCGTACGGATGAATGGAGCTCGTGCGTAACGTGAGAAAGTGTTGGATTGTAGCCGCAGAAAGTTCAGTGTTGCCTTGTTCTGTTTCATGTGTGGCTGACAGGGGGAATGTTGGACCCCTGATATCACAGCGTGTGGTCCTTGCCTGGAGCTTCTCTCTGCTCCTGAAGCGGATGAGCGCGTTAGTGACGTGCACGCGCATTGGTTGAGGCACTTTCGCCCGTTTGACTGGAGACGTTATTGTCGCATTTCTTCCCCTTTTTATTATTCAACTCAAACAGAAATAGTTACATTCATACATTTATCAAATTATCTCTTGCTGTATACATATAGTATATATACATAGATATACCCACACACATACATAGATATACATATACACACACACGCACACACAGATAATATAGTACATACACACACATAATAAATATATTATGGCATTCACCATGTGTCTGTATACTTATTACTAATTACTATTTACAACTTTAAGTACTATTCAACAGCTCAAAATAGAACAATTATAAACTCTCCCATGTGCATCTTTTTCTCTTTTATTTAAAGGAGCAATATGTAATATTTGCATGTCAAGTCATCATTAAATGACCCGAATATTTCAAAAGGCGTTATTAAATCATACTCTTTTCGAATTCATCTTTAACTGATAACAGTAGTTCAGCCGAGATATTTGATCATCAAAATTAGTTTTACGACCCGTAAAAGTTATTGTTTTGATTTTGATGTCCTACCCTCCGCCGTTTCGCCAATCAGGAAGTGTCATGTAAGTCAGTGATCGAGTTGCCAGAACTCCACGCGGCTCATTAATCTCAGTGGTAAAATAACATGTGGCGTAGAACTAAAAAAGGTCTTGTTATGACTCTCAAATAATTAATGACAAAACAAAGACTAAAACGAGGATTTATATCGGGATGCCTTTGAACAATTGAGACAGCTGATAAAAGTTTACGTGTGATGCAGAATTTTCTATTCAAATCCGTTCTTCACGGTGTCTCTGTTCGTGTGAACCGGTGGCCTAGCGTTCTAAGTTGCGCGCTTACGATGCAGGAACCCGGGTTCGATCCCGGGCTATGTCTTTTTGTATTTATTGCATGTGATCACATTCTATGACAGATGCTCTAAAAACGGTAAAAGATGAAGGTCAAGACGTTTTTTTGCAGATTATAGCTTAATTGTAAAAATAATCATTTAAGACCACATGTACCCCAATTAAAATAATGTTAGTCTCTTTTTGATGTGGGACTTTTACATGTTTGTCTAAAAAATAGGGAATAAATAAAATTGAAAGGTGATATCCTCTTGAGCAAACCCTGATGTTGATACGCTGAAGAAATACGTTCCAACATCCATTCTTCCCACTCCTATTTTGGACATCAATTTCTTATTTATTTTGCATAAACTATGTATAATTACATTGCTTTTATTTTGTTTTTGTTTTTTATCTCAAATGTCCAAATTATAATAATAAAAAAACATGAATCAAAACATTCATTCAGCATTAGCACGGCTGTCATGGCAATGTGAATGGAGACGGACAAACAACTGATAAAATAATTCCCTGTGTTTGCTGCTGGATTTGGTGTGAATCTGGCAACCTGAGTCAGGGAGAGTGGGAGAGGACTACAAAATATTGACTGTGACTGCAGTACCACTTTTGGCCAGATTTTTACATATTGCTCCTTTAATGGATTTTGAAAAATAAAATGAAAATAATACTTCTAAAATGTTCGCCAGCGGGTCCCAGACCACACCACAGTCCTAGAACATTATTTACATTTCACTGTTACAAACTTTTGCAATGACTGTAAAGCAGGGCAACTTTATTTGTATAGCACAGTTCAAAACCAAGGCAACTCTAAGTGCTTAACAACAAGATCGAAACAGTTTTTCAAGACATCAAAATAAACTGTTTTTAATCTGGATTTTAACATTGTCAGAGAAGGAACCTGTCTCACATTTTCAGGAAGACTGTTCCAGATTTCAGCTGCATAATCCAAAACGCTGCCTTCTCATGTTTAGTCCTGACTGTGGGACCAGCAGGAGACCTGTCCCTGTGCTCCTCCTGCCCTTGTTCAGAATCCCATGTATTTTCCCACTTCTCCTACTTTTCCTCTGATCTCTCCTGGTTCCGTGGGGCGTCGCTGGTGTGGCCCATGGAGGAATGTGGTGCAGACCATGTGCTCTCCAAATATTACCACATAAGCGACTGCCCTCCCCCTCTGCTCAAACGTGTGTAACCCAACCCTCAGGCGGGGGGACTCCTCTCAGACTGAGGTGCATGGTGATTGGGCGTCACACACAGAGTCCATAGGGACGCAGGCCAGAGCCACAGCTCTCAGAATAATCACCAGATCTCGATCAGTACTGATGTAATTCACTTAAGTTACCCAGTTTTTCATGTATTTCACATGTTTTATTTATCCCATAAAGAGAGTTTGCTAAAAGTATATTCAGACCACAACATACAGGCTTCATTTCCTTTGAAAGAGAGAGCTTTGGGAGTCACTTTTGAAAGAAGGTGATATAAAGATGTGACCGTGACCAAAAATACAAGACCAGAGAGAGAAAACAGAGAGCGGGACCACAAAGAGACAGACCAGAGAGACCAGAAAGAGACACGACAGACCAGAGAGAGAGAGACCGAGTGAGAGAACAAGAGAGAGACCAAACTGTTTAGAGAATGAGTAATATTAGCACATGGTTCCATTATTGTGGTTTGAGAGTTGGGTTCTGCAGCTTTAATAGTTCCTTTGGTGGTGTACACTGAGACGCTACGGCAATAAAACAGTAGAGTTAGCTTTCGGTTTGGCCTTCTGTTTACATGAAGACAGTGTTTTAGGGGGGTGAAAACGCAAGAGTTGAGAAACAGCCTCCAGAGTGACCTCCACTTGAAACTAGAGCGTTGCGTGGTTTCGTTTGGACGAACGAAGGAGTAGAATTCTCCTCCTCTCGGACACTGCGCACGTACATTTGGACATGCGCAGTGTCCGAGAACAAACGTAAAAAGAAATTACGGCGGGTACACTCTAGCTACATGTGCTTTGAGCGCTACATGGAGGAGAATTCTACTCCTTCGTTCGTCCAAACAAAACCACGCAAAGCTCTAGTTTCAGTTTCCATTTTCGCAGCTACTTTTAAATGCAGAATGATGTTGGTGCATTCATTCACGTCTTTGCGGTGGCCTGAGGAGGATGTTGTTGAGGAAGTGAATATACTGCTGGGGGTCGCATGTGTCATGTTGTATAGTTCCACTGCCCCCTACTGGCCGTGCGCTAGAACTACATTGTTTTTGTCCTTGTTTAAACGCTGTGCACTTGAATAAGGACCTGGCTGTTTTTTCTATCTGCTTTGCAGCGTCTCTGCAGTGTCTCTACCTAAATAGGGCCTTAGTCTATGGTCCGTGTCCCACACATTGAGAACCACTGTGGTATGTTTTCCCTAACCTGACAGACTGCGATTTTGACCTGTAAACAGATTGGGACTGTCTATGACGTCTTTGTCGTCCGACCAGTTTCTCTGAGAACGCTGCTAACATGAGGTCATGACTGTGATTCTCTTGTGCGTTTGGTATCAGCTAGATCTTCACTTATGTCACTTTTCTCACTCTTCATCATTATCCAAGGCATTGCTTGCTTAAAGCTCGGCTTCCTAACATTTTAGCTTTATAAATAATAACTTGAGAGTGAGGAATATTATTACATATTTCTAGCAAAGCACCAAACCATAGAGATCAATAAGAATTTGTATGAATGCTTTGAAACGGCTTCCACCTCTTTGTGGTTTAAAAACTCATTCTTCAGAGTCTGAATCGAATCCTAAGGAGAGCAATAGGAGCAATAGGATCTATTGTCGATCCTGATTTCTTATCTCAGAGTCTGTGACAGCGGTGTCTTCATTGTGATCCTGGGACCAGGGTGAGGGGACAGGGTCATAAAGGCCACTCCCGGTCAAACGTGCCATTTGCACTAATTGTCGTGGAGATGGTGGAGATTACAGGGGGCTGTGTTTTTGTCTGTGTTGTTGAACCAAGCACCAAACCATTAATATGAAAAACACCATTAGAAGTAATTAGGGTCTTCAGCCACAGGCTTCATCAGATAAAGCTTCAAAGACCAGGGTCAAGAGGACAACATCTCACTGGAGGACAATGATTTTACCTATATAGGCGAAGCTGCCGGATTAAAACTAAAACTTTTCAAACAGTTAGTTATTTTTACTTTTTTCCCCCTTTTGGCATCCATTCTCAAACCCCATGCATTTTAAGAAAAGGCTCTCTGACTTAAAATAAATAACTTTTATCATCTCCTCATTTTAATGTTCTAATAATAACAATAATAATAATATACATGATATAATAATTATTTCCAAGTCACATTTTTGGTAAATCACTGATTGTCTGTTCAAGCAAAATGACAAAATCAATAACTAACCACTGAAGTATAGAAAAATAACTAGTGCATGCATTATTCTGCTGCCATATCACCCACTGCCCAGTTACCAGTAGAATCTTTTCTCTCTTGCACTAGAAGTTTGTAAATCATTTAAAAATTGTGTTTTCCATCGCTTTTTTCAAATTTCCATTTTTGTCACATACTTCTGATGAACTCAGTCTATTTTCCTGGCGTCTTCCGTGATGCAGACCAGAAAAACTCAAAAATGGCTGCAACGTGAAAGTCAGATTCAAATTCATTTTTTTGCCATTTGTCGTAAAACCACATTGGAAAAACTGTGCAAGACTACCCCAGTGTGCCCCAGATAGAGAGGACGGTACACACCAGAGCTCTTGCCACGGCGCCATCTTTACGGCGGCATGCGACAAACAGTAGAATAAACAGCAGAGAGCAATAACATACACAGTTCAGTACAGAACTGGGCTGGCAGAGAAATAAGTTGTCGAGAAAAATATTGTAGTAACAATGGGCCTCATTCACGAACGGTTCTTAGGAACAGATTTGTACGTAAATCCTACTTACGCGGTTTTTACGAAGAAAATGGCATTCACGAATATTTCTCGTAACCAGAATTTCTCTTGGGCAAGTACAAATCCTACGAGTCCTCAGGAGCACTCGTACGCATTCAGTGCCGACATGTTCACACGCCGGGGTTGTCCTCTTTGGTGAAGTTGAATAAAAATACAACATTCCAGTGATATGTCCGTCATATCGATGTATGTATTTATTTATTTGTAGTAATCTTTATTAGTAATCTTTATTTATATACCGCCTTTTTCACTGCAGATCTGGCCTACTTTTTAATTCATTTTGAAATGAAATGTGCCAACGCTTTATCAAATACATTGGAAAACCTTGCCGTGTATTAGTGACCCCTTCCTATTTATAGGGGGCATTTCTTTATCCACGGGCCACAGAACAACGGCATATATACTGCTGCTGCAGGAGGCTGCGGGGTCCGCGCTGAGTCTCTGCGCTGGTCTCTCCCATGGATCTATACGGGTCTGCACTGGTCTCTCCCATGGATCTATACTGGTCTGCACTGGTCTCTCCCATGGATCTAGACGGGTCTGCACTGGTCTCTCCCATGGATCTATACGGGTCTGCACTGGTCTCTCCCATATACGGGTCTGCACTGGTCTCTCCATACGGGTCCGTGCTGCATGCTCCTGGATCCATACGGGTCCGCGCTGGTCTCTCAAGTCTGGTCTATGCGGTCTATCTTCGGTCCGCGCTGGTCTCTGCGCACCGGTCTCTCCAGTCAGGTCACTCCAGTCTATGCGGTCTCTCCTATAGGTCCGCGCTGGTTTCTGTGTGCTGGTCACTCCAGTCTCTCCTCGGGTCTGCATTGGTCTCAGCGCTGGTCCGCGCTGGATCTCCTCCCAGGGTCCAAAATATTTTGAGATGAATCTCAAAACATTTTGAGATTCATCTTTAAAATAATATATATTTTTAAATTAAGCTCATAACATTTTGAGATTAATCTCATCATATTCTTAGATTAATCTCATAATTTTGCTAGTTCGACTTTATTATCATAATATTTCGACTTTTAAGTCAACATTTTATAACTTTATTCTCAGTCTGGTAAAAGAAGAAAAAAGGGTGACTCTTTTGCTCCGTGTAACTCTTTGCTTTAGGCCTGATGCTAAGTACCTATGCTAATGAAGCACCTGGCACGCGCGCTGTACTTACGAGGAAATGGGATTCATCAATCTGAGAGAACAGCTGCGAACAATTCAGCGGCTTACGAGTGCGTTGATGAATCCCACGTGGGGACTTCTTAGAAATCTACTTAAGGACAACTTGAGAAGAAAGTTGAGTAGTTTCTTACGAAGTTATTCGTGAATGAGGCCCAATGTGGGTAGAGCAAACGTTCAGTTGCTCAGATAATAATGTTTGACAGTAATACTAATGTGACAGGGGTCCACAGTACAAAACTCTGTCATTCACATTATTGCACTGATGCAATAGTCCTCAGTTATACCCACTCTGGTCCTCTCATGTGGTGGTAGTAGTAGTAGTAGTAGTAGTAGTAGTAGTAGTAGTAGTAGTGTAGCAGCAGTAACAGGAGTGGAGCTCGGAGAAGCGTGTAATCCAATAGGAGAGAGTTGTATTGACCACTGTGGCCATTATGTGACTCTGATTTACTGAGTGAGACAAGGCCAACAGGTCGATCCACTCCCAAGGCTAACATCAATTCTAACGTAAAAGCTAATACTACACTATTGTTTTTAGGGCTGGGCGATAAAACGATAACGATATATATCGCGATAGACATGTGTTCGATATCAATAGAGAATGGGGTGGATAGAATGTTCGATAGTTTAACTTAACTCCGTCAGGAAAAACAGGAAGAAAACACCGGAAGTAAAGCCGACTCATAAGCGCGCGGCATTGTGGGGGATGTAGGCAGAGGCTTCTCGACCAATAACAGCCGAGCAGGAACCGCAAAACTTTCTGGGAAATGCAAAAACACCAACAACCGCACCATGCGTAGCGTCCATGGATCTATAGCTCGTGTTTCAATGCCGTGTCAATGGTTATGCATGTACGTGCGCGGAATAACATGTGCGGCGGCAGAGGCAGTGGACAGACCCGATGTATTCGGCGAAAGCAAGAGATTAACTTTTTCCTCGGGAAGCATGTGCGGCACAGAGAGCCGCACGGAGCGGTCACGGGGACACAAGACCCTCAAACAGCTAAACCAGGAATAAAAAACCAGGATTAAACCAGGATTAAACCAGGACTAACAACGAGGGACACAGTGTGAACATATTCCTCCA